ACTGTAAGGCCTGGGTGCACAGTCTTGATGGAGCAAGTTAATTGTGTGCATTTTCACTATTCTTTTGTCTGAGGTGGTGAAACTTCTTCACTGCCTTCAAAATTTTCTTGTGCTCGTTGGCCAGTTCGCTGAGGATTGTTCATATGGTGTGCTGCAGGGCCTGTATATGGCTGTCCATGCACATGGTTATTCTGTAAGACGGAAAATACAGTTTAAGAAGAATTATTTGAATTTCTTTACTTAAGTAGCTGCTTGGTGGATTAGTTTGTAACAGTCTAGAGAAAAACTTTATCTGTTAACAAAAATATAATTTATAATGAAACCAAAATGTCGATTCACTGTTTAACTACATGCAAGATCTAAAGGAAAAGAAAGATGCTATCAAACAAACAGCTTGGGAAAGAAGGAAGAAGAATATTCAGGATTGAAATGGTGAGAAAGTAGTAGCATTATCTATTAAAGAAAACTGTCATTAATTTTTTGCCCCTAAGGTACAGTAGTCTTTGAGTCAAACATAGTAAAATAATTTATATCATATGTATTAACTAAATTAATTTAAAGAATTTGTATATCATAATATAAACTGGGATTAATTATAACCTAAAATTGAAATAATAATTAGTCAATGTGCAAGTCTGGAAGAGAGAAAAACAATCTCTTGAGAATAAATCATGTATTTACAGATAAGGGAGGTGATGAATAAAAAAAAATATGCTTAATTTTGTGACAACAGGGTCTACATCTAGAGACATCAGAAAAGAAAGCAAAATGAAGGCAAATAAGAACCAATATTAATCAATTTAACAAGTGGGTTAATAAAAATAAAACTAATAATGCAATTATTATAACATAATTCATATCAAATAACATGATTTTAATTTTGCAGAGATAGCATGGTATTTTAGCAGCATATAACATTCAAGCGATTAATTTTATATGCTTGCATTTAATGTAATTTCTTTTCTTCATGCCTGTTAAAAAAACTGAAAATTCAAAATCTACCACACAAATTATTCTTGAACTATTTTAGATAGCATTGCAAATAAACTGTAGAATCAGATAAACCATTAGCCTGAGACCAACCCTAGGCTAAGAAGGCAAAAAGAAGGCATACTATGTGAGCTTGAATACACACTTGAACATTTATTATAATTTCCTAGTGTAATCAGATGAAATGTTGGAGAAAAGGGAAAAAAATGTCGGGGGCTAAAAATCATAAGTGTAAATCTAAAAAACTTGAAGAAAAGAAGAACGTGCCTTTTTGAAATTCCTAAGAAAATTGGAAGATGAGCCAAACCAGGAGGCACCAGGTTATGACTTTGCCTAGGGCAGAGGTCTCCAACCTTTTGGGCACCAGGGACCGGTTCCGTGTAGAGAGGTTCTTCCGTGGGCTGGAGGGTGCATGGTTTCGTGTATTGTCTGCATCCCACGGATGGGGCTTTGCTTGTTTGTGCGGACCAGTTTCTGGCATGCCGCAGCCTGGCGCCGGTCCATAGACCGGGAGTTGGGGACCCCTGGCCTAGGGCACCAAAGTATCTACAGCTGGCCCTGACATCAACACTATGTTTGGCAATCAGGACCTAACATATGTTTACCAGCAATTTATGTAAGCTACAGTTTACATAATCAATGATTGGAGAATTATAGACTAAAACATTTGGTGTGCTAATTGTCTACTATTATTAGCAGTCATTTCATGCAAAATGTATAGTTTTAGATATTTTGAGGCATTTAGATTTGCTTTGTAAAATTGCCCTGCAAGCATCAACAAATGTTTGCACAGTATGTTATATGCAAAGTCATTTTTTTTTTTTTGGCTGGCTGTGATTAGAAAGAAAGAGGTGGATCTGCCATTCACTGATGATATAGTGAAGTAACAAATTCTCTTTAAGATTCATCTCTGCTCACCTGTTGGTATTGGGAGCCAGGTGAATGGGGGTACAATGGAGCATCTTCTGGTGGAGAAGATTCATGCTCATCAGGAGCATCTGGATCATCTGGTTCCTAGAAATGAAATTCACTCCATTAAGACATTGGCAAAATCTTTATCTGTTTCTTTTTTATTTAAAAATGATTATTTTCTTACACATTTGTTAAGCTTACACAGTACAGACATTTTAACTCATAGATCTAATAATTTTTAAATGACCAAATACAGAATGAAGTCATTCCATTTTTGTGTATGTATCACTCTCAAAGGAAATTTTATATGTATGTACTTAACATTCTGGTATATTAACATCTTCAGTCCACTTGCCACTAATCTAAGACCCATAGAAACATCATTCCACTAGTTTTATGTTTTTGTCATCTACATTTTCTTCATTGTGAGGTTACGTAGTGTACAATAGTATTCCTAATAAAGGAGAAAATAGAAAATTCTGCTTCACACTATATTTGCAGGGCTCTGTTCTACTGGAGTCACACCTGTTTAACTATGCTGACTTTTGCCCTATCACAGTGATGGCGAACCTTTTAGAGACTGAGTGCCCAAACTGCAACCCAAAACCACTTATGCATCGTCGGGTGCTGGCTAGGTGTGGCCAAATGGCTGGGCGTGGCTGCGGCGGTAACGGCAGACTGGGTGGGACTAAAATGTTCAATCAATCAATTCCAACTTTGCAAGATTTTTTTCCCGAGAAGTTGAAATTGACTGATTGAACCTTTTTTTTTTTTTTGTACACGGTGGTGGAAGCCTAAAGCGAAAAGGTTTTATAAAACCCAGCTGAAGGCCTAGGACTGGGCCGACGGCGCGCGTGCCCACAGAGAGTGCTCTGAGTGCCGCCTCTGGCACCCGTGCCATAGGTTCGCCACCACTGCCCTATCATCTATTCTAGCAAGAATATACAATTTACTTGTTTTAGTGATCTTCAAACAACTAGGTATAATTCAATATTTATTGATTACTAACAAGTAAAATGCTTGCTTAAATGGATTATTTTCACATTGACTATGCATATGCAGCACTGGAGTAACAAAGGGCCAGGTCAGAACTTCTAATGGTTGCTGAGTTAGTCCTTCAATGGAATATTAAGTCCAATGCACTGACTTTGGCTCTCAGTTTATGTTTTAAATAAAAGTGTGTGATACAGGACAACTCCATGGTAAACTGGGTTTTTATTGTGAAAAGAAAATAATCATGAACATAAAAACTGGGCTTGATAATAACTGAAACTTACTGGTTTATGCGAATGTCGCAAGCTCTCTTATGCCTTTTCTTTTTCTATTGCATGCTCAATATGTTTGATATTATGATTTATAGAAGTTCAAAACTTTGAACTCCACTATGGATTAATTTGTAGTATGCTGAAATCTTGATGAAATCAAAGAAATCAAAATCTGCAAATTTAGAGAACAACTGATGCTTAAAGTTAAGAGTAGAACTTGGAAAATAATGGAAATATAAGATTTAGTGACTTCTCTTTATTTTTTCCTCAATATGTTGTACCAAGGGGAAAATAACATCTTGGTATAATGTAGCCTTTATTATTAATATTTTCTATCCAATGTTAACATGCAAGTCATCAGCTATTTTTCAAGATTTAACCCAATCGAAATTACTTCATTAACTTACTGCAAGAAGAAACTATAATTTTTTTAAAAAGCTCCTATTAAAGTGTAATATCAAAATATCAATCCATGTATCTATTATATAAGCTGTAATTCTATTAAGAATTTTGTGATAGATTATCTGTGTATAAATTAATTTCAAAATAACATTAGATTTCTCACCTCTTCAGGGCACAGTTCACAAGCCTTTGCAAGAGTCATTCTTGCACTGTGAGATCTCTCCAGAAAGTAACCATTTGATGTTTCATTACTTTGTACTGGTGGAGACCAGTTATTGTATGTATACTGTGGGTTGCCAGTGTAAGGCCTACGTTCTAGCTCATCTCCAAGCCATTCTACTGCCCAGGTCCATTTTCTCTTCAAATCTCCATTACTCTGTAGAGATAAAATGAAGTCAATTCTATATTTGAAGAATTATTTCAACTCTTCTATTCCATACAGCTTTTAATATAATATTGCTTCTTGGTCATGACTGAGAATTAAAAAAATACTAAAAATGGTCTTTCTATGGGGAGGTAGGATTGATACTGTATTTCACTAAAATAATAAATTGATTTAGCTAGTTAATTCTACTAAGAATTCAGCTGTGATCCCCCCAAAACCCTCCATCAATCCATGTTTTTTTCAATCAGCACCACACAAACAAAAATGTCAAAGCAATTATGTCATGGTTCCGACAGATGAAACTCTTCAAAGAACTTCGAGGCATTGTTTACCTTAAAGAAACTTTTTTTAAGTTGCATGGCATCAGCACATACATGATCGAAGCTGAAATCTGAATTCTTCTCCCCATAACATATAGTATCAAAGCAAAATTCCCTCCTCTAATTAACAGTCATAAATCACATTCTCCAATTAGTTTGAAATGCAGACCTTCCCTCCAGTTCTCCAACCCATTTCTTATCATCTCTTATTTCAAACCACCTTGAAAAACACTCTACTACATGTTGTTATGTCTAACTAATTCTCATACGCATTCTTCCTCCCCCCCCCCCAGTATCATCTAACTCTAACTCTAAAAGTAACACACAAGTTAAGGGGAAATTGGCTGCATCTTCATATATTGTCAAAGCAAGAACATCCAATGTTAGCAGTGTTGACAAATTACCTGTAAAATTTGATACGCCACAGGACAGTTGCTGAAGAGAGCCACCATACACTTTATACACTGGTAAGCCCTTTTTTGATAATGGTTCTTGGATCGTTGAATGGTATCAAATAGCCCATCACGGTCATCTGGAATTCCTTTAAGTGCATTGTGAATCCTTAGGGAACCCAAACAAATTAAAAGATCAGAATTTCACAAAGACTGAAAATCTATATAAAAATCTTATAAAAAGGTAGTTTTATTCCTTTCCAACTTCTCCTCTGAACTAGACCCAATGTTGTTATTTCACAAAGAAAGAACTGATATTCAGCAAAGGCAAATTTATGCTAATTCCTCTTCACAACAATTTTGAATTAATATTCTGAGCTACAAAAGGAGGAAGGATTCATCTTAATCCCCTTTCTTCATTCTTCTGTAATTTGTTTTTAAAAATAGCAAACAGCTTTGTAATTAAACACAGTGGATTAGTATCACTTTCTTAATATTACCAGAAACTTCTGTTATATAATAAAGAGAACACAGAATATCTTGGAAGATAATTGCAGAGGACCAACTTAAGCAGCAACAAAAATCATAATGCTTGTAACATTAATATCTGAAACTGTAACTAATATTGATAGAATATTCACTTATCTATATTCATTAAGACATCTAAATAGCAGAATGTTAAATACCTATTATATAAATATCATTGTACTGAAATAGTACACTATTAAAAATGAGAAGATGGAGCAATACACGATCTATATAGCTAGATTTAATCATACATTAAAGCAGGGGTGTTAAACTGCTGGCCCCCAGGCCAAATGTGTCACACCCATTACAGCTCCAGCAAGGGGAAAAGTTGTGATATGTTGCGACACATCACGTGATGTGGCGAGTTTGACACCCCTGCGTTAAAGGGTTGAGCTAATTCTATGCTACTACTTTATGGATGTATCTTTAGTTTAATTACTCTTTTGTATATTATTATATTAGCAATGTTATATTTTCAGTTTCACTTTGTCACATCTTCTAGTTATTATACTTTACCAATAAAATATTTAAATGCCATGAAGAGGAAGAAGAAACAGTTTTGTCTTAGAAATATAATTATCCATTACATCCCCCCCAGTAAAAATGCATAAATTTCAAATCTGTCATTCAATTATAAATAACAAAATTGGTCTGACTTTGAATAAAGCCCATCCAATTATTAACTGGTCCTTTTTGGGGAGCAATAGTGTGCCCCATTGTCACCTGAATATCTCTTGTTAAATACGTAATTTACATTGTTACAGAAGTAGAATTTGCATTTGTTAGGCAAGTTAATAATTAGTTTTAGGCTTCTAATAGATTTTCAAATAGAAGAAAAGACCAACAATCTCCAATGCTAACCTGTGAGTCTGCCAAGAATCCTCAATTAGTAAGATTTGGAGAAGTAGATCCAAATAAGGTCGAAGTTCATATGTGTAAGAATATGCAACCTTGAAAGGAAAATATTTACATACAACTTCTGATAATTCAAGCATATATCACCAATGGTATGTATCATGAATCAGTATTATGAACCTTTTTAGGTCATAACATAAACTGTTGGAAAAATGCTTTTAAATAAACTTTTATAATTAAATTATTAATTACTCTTCATCTGCATGTGCCTCTATGTGAGTCTAGGTATGTATATATCCATGTGTAAACATTTGTGTGTGTGTGTGTGTGTGTGTGTGTGTGTGTGTGTGTGTGTAACAATCATTGAATTCCAGGAATGTTCTTTATTAGGACAAAAATACCAAAAAAATACACAAGCATTTTCCAAAGTTTTATGCTTTCCCACTAGATTAGTTCGTGTTAATATCAAATCCATTATCAAAAATTTGGGGAATTCTGTTTCCCTCACATTCATATTTTAGTTCTACTAATACATGATGGCTTCTGATTTTAAAAAGCAATTAAAATAAAATATAGAAGAACCAACTTGTGAGTCTACCATACTGCAATACCAAACCAAGAACTGCAGCTACATTGAAAGTATGGTTTTTGTTTTGACAGTACAGTGAAACCTTGATTTAAATGATTGACTGCAAAGAGAAGGTCTCCATTATTTACAATAGTACATTATATATAAAGGTTCATTGTTACAGCAATTTAGCTCATGTGCATGAAGATACAATGAAAAGTATCGTTTAATGCATAACATATATGTAATAATTTCATTATACAAATTAAGTAAACCACTGTGGAACTATGGTTATCTCATGGAAAATCCTTTGTCTGTTGAGTTTTGCTGTATAGTGTGAATTAAACTGCCTGAAAACTATTTGTGAATTGATACCCATGCACTGAAGTTGTTTCTTCAAGAGTAAAAATTGGTTCTTACAGTTCAGTGCAACAAAAGACATAAACCAAACCAATTCCTGTGAGCTGCTTCAGAAACTTCAATTCTGCTATTAATTACTTGCTTTAATATGCTGGAGCCATTTTGTCTTGGAAATATATCTGAGATATGGGATGCAAATATTTATATATATTTATGCAAATATAAATGGATATGAATCAAATTGTACATATATCAGTAACGATGGTATGACAAAGCCATTTCCATGGGATACATTTTTTTGCATTTTTATTTTTTTTTACCTGCCAAAGTAATTCACTGAGAACTGTAGATGAAAACTGAGGATTTTCCCAACAGCAGAAACGAAGTAGTTTGATAGTCTCTTCTGAATTACTGCAATCTTCTATAATTTTTTTCACGTAACTGGTCCGCACAAACAAAATGTCTGCCACATTTTGCTGCAGTGCCATTATTGGTTGTGATAAATTAGGGTCACCATATGGATTGCTAAGTGGAGGATTACCTAAAAAAAGTATGTAGTACTTTATTTTTTGCGCTTAATGATATAAATTCCCGAAATATATTAATAACATTAAATTTTAAAACCCATGCCAACATACAAACATACATATTTCCTGATTAACAGAAAACTCTTGCATAGGTGTTCACCTAGAATAGATCACAGGTGGGCAATTTATTTTCCCGAGGGGCCACAACTGGAACAGTTGTGGAGGGCTGCCATTCCTCCCTTGCTGCCTCCCTACCCACCATCACTGCTGGTCAGACAGAGACAGCCAAAGGGACTGGATGTGGCCTGCAGGCCGTAAAATGGATGGAAACTAGCCAAAGAGAGAAGCAACCTAGAATTAAGGAAGAAATTTCCTGACAGTTAGAACAATTAATCAGTGGAACAACCTACCTCCAGAAGTTGTGAATACTCCAACACTGGAAGTTTTTAGGAAGAGACTGGATGGCCATTTGCCTGAAATGTTGTAGGGTTTCCTGCCTGAGCGGGGAGTTGGACTGGAGGACCTCCGAGGTCCCAACTCTATTATTATTCCTATTATTATTATCCCAAGATTGACCTAGACCTAATACTGTACCAAAGATACATATCTAACTGAAGCTGTAGTAATTACATAATCAACATCAGTTGATTGTGTAAAATGTAATTCCAGAATGTGGTGGGTTTTGTTTTTCTTAGTGCTGCAGTATTCTCATATTGGAGCTAGCTACAGGTAGTTTTCAAGGTACGAACCTAATGAAGTCTGGCCATTAGGCTTGTAATTAAAAAAAACCTCGTGAAATGAGTAAGACTCAATTTTACAAATTTTTAAAATCAAATTCATTAATTAAATCAAATGGGTTTTTAAATGAACAAAGATCTGACTTACTATTTCCTCCGATAGCTGCCATGTTAACTGAACTGGGAGGATTTCCTGCCAGTCGGCGATCAGCTGTTTCCTGTGAGCTTGCTCAGGAACTAAATTGCCTCCAAGCAGAACTTGCAGCCATTAAAGTTATTTAAAAAAAACAACAACAACAACAACTGCTGCTAGCCAGCTCAAGCATCTTCAGCTGCCCAGAGGGGGTTTGTGGAGCCATTGCTTAAAAAAAAAAAAAAAAACACCACTTGCCAGCTTAAGAGTCTCCAGCCAGGCAACCAGAGGGAGATGGGGGAGGGATTTGCAAAACTCTCAGCTTGCAATAGTAACAGAGATGGAATGGACTTTGAGGTCATCTAGTCTAACCCACTGCTCTCACAAGAGAGTACAGTATTTCTGATTAATGCCTATCCAGTCTCTTCTTAAAAGCTTCCAGTGATGGGGCACCCACAACTTCTGGAAGCAATTTAAATTTAAAACCCACAAAATACAGTAACATATGCTAATCTCCAAAATAAAAGCTCAATAGTTTGCAAACACAATAGTTTGCAAAGGACAGCACTTAAAAAGCAGAGCAGTTCCCAAAGTGCTCGCAAACTGTTTGTTTGTAAGCACTATAGAGTAACACTTTTTTAAAAAAAATACTTACAGAAGTAATTCTACGTAGCACTCCAGCCCAGGCAGTAGCAGATTGCAGCAAAAGCAAAAACAAACCAGCCCCAGATTGGCTCGTTTGGCCATGTGACCAGGGACAAAAAAACCCACAACCTTCCGGCTTCTCGTAGGCCCAAACGGCCCAGGCAAGTCAGATTGCAGCAGAGCCTTAATCTAAGTCCCATGACTACAGAGGCCTCTTTTTGGTCACCATTTTGAATTTCTAATGTAAGTACCCTTTCTGAATTAATTAGTTTTTGTGAAAACTCGCTAAATAAATGTTCGTACCTGGGGGGGGGGCTACCTATATTTGGTCATGCTACTTGAGAATTTTGTTAGAACAACAGTAAAAGGAAGTTTTATCTATAACTGGCATTGATTTCTATTCTAATAGCAAATTCAATAATAGAATTTTCTTTAAAAGCATAATTCAAATTATGACACTGAAATTAACACAAGGAAGCTGATGTTAAAGTAAAAGTTAGTACTTCTTCTAAAGATAGAATGCACCCCATGCTTTTGAGTGGGAGCCTTCATCGAAAGCCCTGTTGTACAATGCAATCAAATCTAGGAACTAAAAGTTCCATTTCCTACTTCAAATTGATTCATGCTGATTCTGAAGAAAGCATCGCAGAGCCTGATCCCTCTCACCTCTTTATCAGTACAGAATATACATCAATCTATAAAAATATTGATATAACATATTCAGTAAGATGTAACAGAGTAATGAAATTTCTTATGCATAACAGCCGATTTAAATTTTTCATTATTTAAATTTTTCATTATTATATAGCAAAGTTTATCCAAATTCCATCACACAGGTTCCATACTAAATACATTCTTTTATAAACTCAAAAATAGTACCATTAATAGAAGACTGCATTCGTGATGCCACATTACAACAGCGGATTAGTTGGGACACCACAGTGTATAGTTTGCCCAATTCAGCATACTGGTATTTAATTGGAGGACCTGGGCCTTCATCCAGTGCCACAAGCATAAACGTTGCAGGGACATTTAATTTTAAAAGTTGTGTTTTCTCTGCTACACCTAAATGGAAAGATGATAAAAGGGAAAAATCATTCGAAATTTCATTATATTTTATCAAAATATTATCTACAAAAATCATACATATCATAATTCAATCACTGGATCATGTCTGGGGAAAAAATAGAAGTGTGAATATAACCAGACAGCAACACCTAGTTGACCCTAGCAGATTCCAAAAAAGCATGATCAGATCTAATTAGCATTTGAATGTGGACTACATGGAAATTTGAAAACTATCAATTAGAGTACCATGTCAAGAAGACATACCAGAAGAAATCAATTGCAAATTACATCCATGCATATGTCAAGAAATTAGATACATCAACCAAAACTCAACCTTTCCAGAGAGTTTTTAGTTATTCATCACAACCAGTAATCTTTCTCATTCAATAAGATATAATAGAGTGTCAAGTGCAAAAGACCAGGTCCACATGTGAAGGTTCAAGATTCTTTATTCCTTTCTCTCCAAGTACCCTGACTTTTCTGCCTTGCCTTCATTAAAAAGAGTATCCAGTTAACAGTTTATTTGCATTTTACCAAATGTGCTTGCATAAAAATTGCATATTATTATTAGATCCTTGGTTAGGACTTGAATTAAGTTTCCATCAATCTTAAGACTGTACATCTAACTGCAGATTACCCACACATAATTAATTAAATTTATACTCCTCTCCACCCAACTTCAGCGACTGTGCGATTTACAATTCTTAAAACATAAAAAATAAAGAAGACAGAAGTCATAAAAACAGCGTGAGACAAAAGATACAACGATGGCAGAGGGGAACCAAAAGGAACATCTATTGTCCTATCTGAAGGCTTGAGTGAAGAGCCAGGACTTTAAAGCCCTTTGAAATCCCAGAAGAGTGGGTGCCATCTAAATTTCGGGGGGGGGGGGGGCTCATTCTAGAAGGCAGGCATTGTTACAGAAAAGGTGCGCTTCCAGGATCCCAATAGGTGACATTGTTTAATCAATGCAACCCGGAGCGTTCCAGCTCTGACAGATCTTTTTACTCCACCTTTGAAGTTTAGAAAACATTAGTACTCCCTCTAGCCTTGGACTAAAATATATATTGGTAATACATATTCCAATGAAGCCTCCCTATTGATTTTTTTCACTGAAGAATTGGAGGGAATTTCCAGAAGATAACTTAAAACCCACAGTTTTCACTGTAAAAAAGGGTTTCTGCAACACCCAATGGGCTATATAAAAACTGGCATGAACATTTAGATGACATGAGATTATTTTAAAGGGAAAGGAAACAGGGAATAATATGGCATAGTCAAATGAAATTGTCTGAACATTTAGTTTAATTGCTTTTAGAAAGAAACAGAAAATTACCTAAGTTGGCATACATCACGAACAAGTTGAAATATTGCTGCAAATGACGTCCATGCTCAGACACTTCCCTTCTAAGAAGATTTAGCACAGCTCTTAACAAATGGTCACTCAAACTTAAATTGTCATATGCCTATAAAAATGAGGCAATTTTTTATTTATAGGCTAATAATACTAGAACATAAATTACAGTCTTATTACATTTTTTTAAGGAACCAACTGGACTAAGAACAAATCTCAAATCAGAATGGAGCGAAAGTTAATATTAACTATTTTATACTGCTGTGAATATCTGGTGTAATGGATGCACACTGTATGCAGATAATGTAGAGAAATAATATTGTCTGACCAACCATAATCAAACAACTTCTGATTATCCCTGGTCCTTAGCAAAGTCTTGATAGTTGGAGAAAATGCCAAATTCAGTCTAAACATCTGGCTAAGTGGGCAACCAAACACACTGATAATAACATCTCACCTTTAAATCTATCTATCTATCTATCTATCTATCTATCTATCTATCTATCTATCTATCTATCTATCTATCTATCTATCTATCTATCTATCTATCTATCTATCTATCTGTACAAAGATGTAAGGCAGTTGTGCAAAAATGCTGTAAATTAAGAATGCTTTCAGAAATTAAAGTGTTAATAGTTTATTTTTTATCATTTAACAGAATGGAAAGTAAATGAACAGAAGATAAATTCAAATCAAATATATATTTGTATATTTGGTCAACTCAAGGCAGTCAACCTACCTACAGATAGCCCTTGATGTACAATCACAATTGAGCCCAAAATTTCCATGCTAAACACAGTTATTAAGTGAGTTTTGCTCCATTTTATGATCTTTTGGCCAAGTTGTTAAGCAAATCACTGCAGTTATTAAGTGAATTGTGTGTTCATTAAATATATTTGACCTCCCCCCCACATTGACTTTGCTTGTTGGGAGCTGGCTGGGAAGGTTACAAAGGTTACATAACCCGGGACAGTGCAAGTGTGATAAATACATTCCAATGCCAAGTGCCCAAATTCTGATCATGTGACCATGGGGATAATGCATCGGTCGTAAATGTGAAAAATATAGAGTAATTTTTTTCAGTGCCTTTGTAACTTTGAATAGTCACTAAATGACTGGTTGGAAGTTGAGGACTACCTGTAATAGTCCTGCCTCATTTTCCCCACAACTCAGTGATTATCCCTTCCTCTCCAAGCTAAATCAGCTAGACATGAAGCAGGTGTCCCTCGCCAGTAATATTCAGGAAGTTAATACAGGTAATCCTTGACTTACAACCACAATTGAGCCCAAAATTTCTGTTGCTAAGCAAGACATTTGTTAAGTGAATTTTGCCCCACTTTACGACCTTTCTTGTCACAGATGTTAAGTGAATCACTGCAGTTGTTAAGTTAGTAACACGATTGTTAAGTGAATTTGGCTTCCCCATTGACTTTGCTTGTCAGAAGTTCGCAAAAGAGGATCACGCGACCACAGGACACTTCAAACGTCAAATAGGAGTCAGTTGCCAAGCATCTGAATTTTGATCACGGATGCTACAACAGTTGTAAGTGTGAAAAGCAGCCATAAGTCACTTTTTTCAGTGCCATTGTAACTTTGAACTGTCACTAAATGAACAATTGTAAGTCGAGGACTACCTATATAAGGCACTGCATAGAGTGCAACATGAATTCATAAATAGTTAACCAACTAGGATGGTTTATATAAAAACAGGTTATTATACTATTGTATACAAACTAGTTTTTTCATATTGCATTTTGGTTGCATACCTGACTAGAAGGTCCAGGTGAAGCAAAAGGAGAAGGACATGGTCCATCTTGTAATGAAAAGTGTGCAATAAATACTATCAATTTTGCAAATGCTCCTCTTACTTCAGCACTAGGACATTCCAAAAGATATTCAGAGAAGCGATTTGAAACATTGAAAAGTACATTGTGTGCAAACCAAAAACGAACATTCTTGCTGTGACGAAGAAGAATGCACAAAGCATCATACCTGAAAAAAATTTAAAAGATATCACATTTCCACATATTGAATTATACAAATGAAATATAGTTGCTAATAATAAAAGTAATCAATATTATTAAGGAATACTAAATATAACAAGGATATAGCATTAATATTATAGAAAGATTGAATCATTAGAGATTTTTTGCTTCTTTTCCTAAAATCCTCCAAACTTCTTCTGCTCCTTTCCTGTTTTCTTGTGTTACATTCACTTTGCTAACTATGTTTAACAATAACCAGAAATCCTACTTAATGAATTCTTTTAAGCATCTTCAAAAGCTTCAAACTTGCATTAACTTTGGTTATTGTTCTGTTTAAGAAATCAAAACCAGAACCTCTGATGGCATGGTTAGAACCAAATTCAAAGGAGCCACATTTCAATTTTTTATACTTAAAAAAGCTGGTTACCACCAGTTACAGCTGTTCAAATGAGAGGCAGTTTATTTTGAAGCAGATAATATTCAAGTTGCTGATCATGTCAATTGATGATGGCAAATTCTTCTTACTATCTTTGTTAATTGTTACAAAGCTTTGGCTACATCCTGCTGGAAACATATGGCAATTAAAATATTAGGTTGTTTTTTTTACATCTATGAACCACTACAGCAAATGGCAAGAGACAGATAAGGGAAAGATTCCTTATACACTGTCATTCAGTGTCGGTCTCATCTAGCTTGTTAATAAAATGAGTCTCTGGGTTTAAGTCACGGGTATCAAACTCGCGATGTCACGTGACGTGTCGCTACTTTTTTTCCCATTGCCAGCAATGGGGTGGGCGCGGTTTTGGCATGATGCATCTGGTCCACGGACCGGCAGTTTGACACCCCTGGTTTAAGTGATAAAGGAAATTCTGTGTATGCTTCTCAATGTTGTTTAGATGGAAGTACAGCTTCTCTACTCTATATATTGCTTAATCTATCTTTTACTTCAAATGTAATAAATGTCTCTAAGCATTCACTGACAGGTGGGCTAAGTCTATACTCTGCAGTCAACTTTTTGTGGCTTATGTAGAAAACAAATTCGGAACAAAGCACAGATTTCATATTATGATAACGGGTGAGAATTTATGAATAGACAGATATTATTTAAACATAAATGGGATTATTAATGAGAAACCTGTTCCTTTACAAATAAAGTGGATTAACAAAAAGAATTTTCTTTGCTGGGTGTGTTTATACTGGTTGATATAGGCTATATGAAAAATATGTAGGCGAGCTATTTCACAGCCAAATTTAAATTAATCCTGTATTATGCTATCAATCAAATACAAATAAAATAGATACTAATAAAAATAGGGCTAAAATAAAAAGAATACAATTTTTCAGATGCAGAAGTACATATAGAGACATAGAACTAGATAATTTAGAAATATATAATTGAACGATGGTCAGATAGGAGAATTGACAAATAGAAATCATGTTCTTTTCCAATTTATTCAGGTTATGGCAGATAAAAGTAATATGGCATTCCCATTGTTAAAAGCACTGACAGAGAAGCAAGCTTTCATTCATGGCCAAGAGGAAAGGAGTGAAATTGACAGAGGGAGAATGCTCCAAAGCTCCCAATTCACGAAGCCCAGAAATAAAATGCAGTAGGAAGAGATAGATTCTGACACCTAATAACTTGTGAAACTCCTCTGCCATAGGAAAAGGAATAAAGATTTGACAAAGCTGTGGGAATTAATGCAGAAATTAAGTGTTTTTATTGTAAATCACCCAGAGTCACTTGGGCAAGATGGGTGGTGTAGAAATGAGATAGATACAGTCACGTGAAAAAGAAAGTACACCCTTCTTTGAGTTATATGGTTTTAGGTATCATGTCTAGTCCTTAACAGTGTTAAAAATAGGTAAATACAACTTCAATGAACAACTCATGACATATTACACCATGTCATCATTTACTTTACAAAAAGAAAGCCAAAATGGAGAAGTAATGTGTGAAAAATAAGTACACCTTATGACTCAAAAGCTTGTAGAATCACCTTTAGCAGCAATAACTTAAAGTAATAGTTTCCTGAATGACTTTATCAGTCTCTCATATCTTTGTGGAAGAATTTTGGCCCAGACCTCTTTACAATATTGCTTCAGTTCACTGAGGATTGTGTGCATTTGTTGATGCACAACTCTCCTGAGGTCCCACAGCATTTCAATTAGGTTGAGGTCTGGACTTTGACTGGGCCATTACAACACCTTGATTCTTTTCTTTTTCAGCCGTTCTGTTGTAGATTTGCTGGTGTGCTTGGGATCATTGTCCTGCTGCATGACCCAATGTCAGCCAAGCTTTACTGTAAGGCTGATGGCCTCACATTGTATACTTTGGTATACAGAAGAGTTTACGGTAGACTCAATGACTGCAAAGTCCTGTGGCTGCAAAACAAGCCCAAATTATCACCCTTCCGCCACCATGCTTGATGGTTGATGTGAGATGTCTGTGCTGGTAAGCTGTATTTGGTTTTTGCCATACATGGCATTCAGCATGTGAGCCAAACATTTCCACATTGGTCTCGCCTATCCAAAGGACAGTGTTCCAGAAGTTTTGTGATTTGTTCAGATGCTGCCATGTTTGTTTTAGAGATAAGAGGCTTGCTCCTGGCCATCCTTCCAACAAACCATACTTGTTCAGTCTTTTTCTAATTGTACTCTCATGAACTTCAATATTTAATATGCTGAGGTTGGGATATGCATTCCTGGGAAGATTGGCAACTGTCTTGAGTGTTTTCCACTTGTCAATAATCTTTCTCATGGTAGAATGATGGACTTCAAATTGTTCAGAAATGGTCTTATAACCTTCCCCAAACTGATGGATAGCAACAATTGCTTCTGTAAGATCATTGCTGTTGTTTTTCCTCTTTGGCATTGTGTTAACACATTTCAATGCTGGAGACCACCAAATTCCTAAAACTTCGGCTTTTAGTCACATTTGCTGATGATCAATTGATCAAGGACACTAGATTAGCAGCACCTGGCTGCTACTTAGTCTCCTTATTCATATGTACTTAGTTTTTCACATATGGCTTTTTCATTTTGGTTTTTTTTTGTAAAACAAGTGATGACATTGTGTAATATGTCATGTGTTATTGTTCATATAAGGTTGTATTTACCTACTTTTAAGAAGCACTAAGGCCCAAATGATTTTTATTATGTCCTAATACATAAAACCATATAACTCAAAGAGATGTACTTCCTTTTTCACATGATGGATGATGGATGGACGGACAGGCAGGCAAGGCAGGCAGACAGACAGATATGCCATGCCATGCGATGCGAGATGACTCTAGAGTCTGGGCATATATCTCTGCATATATGCATACAATGTTAAATTAATTGTATACATGCACAAGGACTGGGCTGATGATAGAGTTGACTACAAAATACTTGTTCCTCTATGGTGGTGAAGCAGTCGGGTGGGCCAGCAATGAGTAAAGCATTGTGTCACTGTTCTTCACCAAGACTGAGTACATTTCAGGTAGTAAAACTAATTGCCAAACCACATAGTTTACAAATTGCTAGAGGATTGTGTTATTACTGAACCCAAATGTTTAGAAATGCTTGAGAAAAATACACTGGATAATCTTTACGAAAACAAAAATATTAATTCAAGAGTAAAGTATACTGACACCAAATGGCGCTATCCAGAGATGTACAAAGAACTTGTCAGTGTCCATAACTGTGCCACAGAACAAATGAGATATAATGTGCTGATAAAGCCATCATCCTGAGATCAGTGCCAGATGCTTCAAGGCAGCAGTCCCCAACCTTTCTGGCTCTGCGGACCAGCAGCGGCAAGGAGGGGGGAAGAGGGGATGGTTTTGTGTGCCCGTGCACAAATGAAGCTTCATGTGCTCATGCGTTCGCCCCCGCTACTTGTGCTGCCCAGTTCCCAATGGGCCGCAGCCCAGTATCGGGCTGCGGATCGGGGTCCCTGCTTTTAAGGATATTGGAGACTGCTTCATCATTCTGTATTTATGAGCCTTTTACTCATTAAGGCAAATGGTGAGAGATATATACAAAGGTTCTTTACAAACTGTGGAAGTATCCGTTTCTCACCTGCCCTATTAATATAATGAATTTCTATGTGTAAAGTGACAAGGGAAATTCTCTCTTCTCAAGTTGTAATTTATACAAAAGAAAAGCCTCATTTATTCTATTTCTCTATCTTTTACTTCAAATATAATGAAAATCTATTAGTGTTTGGTGATAGATGGGTACAATTATACTGTGCATCCAAGGAAACTATATTATGAATATTTTTCTTTTTGAATGGCACTTGTTATTCAATTACTTGCTATTATTTTAGCTCTCTGCAAATGCTGAGAAACATGCCCTCTAACAAGGGATCCTGAGTTAGTATATGCAACTGACTAGCCAGTAGTTCAAATAAAAGAGAAAAGAGCATTTATCTCACAACTAGACATGTGTAAATAGCACATGTTCTAGCCACTCAAGAAGAGGCATGTCAAGCACATGCTCCCTGTATCTCTGGAACTTGTTGGTCTATGTTGCAGAACACACATCTGACAGATGCTTATTACGTATTACGTAATAATACTTATTAGGTATTATTAGAAAAAACATATATTAACCCTAACTTTAAAAGTTTTTTTCTTTTACTCTCCATTTTTTCCCTTTTTTTCAATCATGTCTGATTCTGGACATGAGAAGTCCCTGCAGTTTTCCTGGCAAAGTTTTCCAGAAGTGATTTGTCAATGTCTTCTTCCTTGCACTGAAATGGTATTAACTGATAAAGGATTAAAATACTGTCATACAAGAACTACATTAAAACACTGAAGGTATGACCAACGAATACTCTTAAAAATCAAAATTTACCAATCACTGGCAGGACCACGAACTATTTTCTTTGTGTGAAATCCTGTGGTAAACAGAAATCTAGCAGCAAGCTGAACACTTATCATTGTAATTTCTTCTGCTTCAGGCAGTAGATGATCTTGTCCTAAAAAGAAAATTCAGAATGTTGTAACTGAGTTCTTAAGTATTAAAATCTAAAAAGTCAGCCTGACTCAAAAATTTTCTTAAATCAATCAACTTCAATATTTTTTGCAGCAATACTGCCTGATACCTATAATATACTTTGTGCATGCAATTTGAGTCAGTTTTGACTCCTGATGACTACCAAATTAGTCCCTGCAGTTTTCCTGGCAAGGTTTTTTGGAAGTGGTTTGCCACTGGTTCATTCCTAGGGCTGAGAGTGATTGGCCCAAGGTCACCTCACTGGCTTTGTGCGTAAAATGGGACTAGAACTCAGTTTTCTGGCTTCCAGTTTGATGCCTCAACCACTATATTAACCGGCTCTCTAAGAACAATTAAAGCATCTTATTTAGTTTTTTGTCTTCCAAGATGAACATGTAAAGATAATGATCAAAAGAAAGATGTCAACAGTGAACATAAATTTAGTAAACATTTTAAAATTAATCTCAAGGGAATGGTAAGATATACTGAAACTATTAAAAATGAAATCCAGGGATCTGAAAAATGTTAAATACTTTCTATTTTTATATAACTATGTAATTAATTTTCACTAGGAATATCCAAAAACTTACCCGGAGGGGGATTTAGGTAGACACTGTTACATGTCAGTAATTTTTTTACAAACTGAAAATATTCCAGGCTGTACTGCATTCGGTTATGCATGAACTGTACATTTTGTTTTCGTACACTCCGCTCAATTGCAGATGGCATTTTAATTTGATGGGGTTTAGTGGTCACTGTAAGTTCTGAAATATATTTTATGAGTTCATTGTCTTTTTCTACTGTGTCCATACGTTCATAAAAAAGAATGTAAGCATTCCACCACCTCTTCTGACGTCTGTAGGACATCCGTTTCATCATATGATCAAATACTTCTCCCATGTATTCTCCACCAAAACACTGATTTTTCATTTCTTCATCATCATCCATTTTGCATTCAGTTACATCGCCATCATCAAATTTATACCATCTGTTTTTCTCACCATCTCCTCCATTTCTTTGAATAATGTAAGAGTAATAATGTCCACCACTGGCTTGACCACTGTGCACCAATACACCCACTAGTCTGTATTTTGTACTTCCAGAATGTTCGTTTTCTGATTGTTCATTCTGTATTAGTTGGTTTTCAGGATTTACATCATCCCCTTCTAACTTAGCCACTCCTGCCACAGTATAAGGTTCCATATCCAACTCACGTGGAAACTCAAAATAATCATTGAACTTGATTGCACATTCCCTTTCCCAGTCATAGTCAAATCGTTTTAGCTGGATGGCAAGAACTGGAGGCAGTTTTTTAATTAGCAAACGTTTCACTGTATCAACCTAGGAAATAAACACAGTTATTTCTGTGAATTACCAAAACCAACAAATTCTAAGTAAAATTATAGTCATTTTTCTTGACCAAACTGATGTGAACAACTCTCTGCTCATATAAACACATTTTAAATAACATGATTAAGGAAGTGATGGCCCTGGGGATCTTGGCATCATCATTCTAAGAAATATTCTTAAATTTTGACTAAAGTATGATGAATAGGAGCTCTCAATTCTCTTACAAAATAAACATCTAAATTGTTCTCTTACTGACCAATGTCAGCTGCTGCTGAATTAAAACAGATTTAGAGCATTATTCTCAAGACATGCCAAAATTACCTTCTTGTTGCATTTTTCACAGTGATATGCATTTGCACCTTCCAGTAAGTCTCCTTTGACATATTGTTCCAAAGAGTCAAGTAGATTTTGGTGATTTCTAATATCTACATTCAGTGTTGTAAAAGATTCTTCACATTCGTACCTGTAAAGATAGCAAAATAATTTAATTCTGCTAAATGAATTATTGAATAACTATCTTTTATTATTAAGCAACATAATTTTATGAATACAATAAAACATATACTGAAAACTTAAAATATATACCTAGGTAGAATAATTTAGACTGACAACTGCAATTATAACTCAAAAGCTGCCCACTGGATAAATGGCAACATTGCATAGTTATTTTCTTTATATAGAAATACTAGCTGTACCCGGCCACGCGTTGCTGTGGCTCAGTCTGGTTAAATGGAAAAGAAAGAAAAGAGAAAGCGCACGTTTGTGTCACAGGTGTGACATCTATATAATAGTAGGTATATAAAAACACGTGCGTATTCGAATGCAATGTTGTGTCAAAATTTCAAAGCAATCGGTGAAGAACTTTCGGAGATTTAAGATTTTGAACAAACAAACATTTACATTTTTATTTATATAGATTAATAAAAGTTGAAAAAGGGTAACATTTACTAACAAATGAATATGGAAGAACAAATAAACCCAAGCTGATACTAAATAGGACAACAATAAGCTTCCATTTTGATTTTTAATTAGAAACAGGAAGCTTAAAGAAAAACTATTATATGGCTTTTCAATATGGTTTTATCATTGGCAGAGAAGGATAGCCGTAAAGGCTTCCTGTCTATATTGCTACGTAAGATGCATGAACAAGTATCAACAAAATCAACCACTGGATCTGGACTAACTCTCAACTGTTTAGCACAGTGGTTCTCAACCTTTTTAATGCCGCGACCCCAACCGGTCGTAAGTCGAGGACTAAACCGGTCGTAAGTCGAGGACTACCCAACCGGTCATAAGTCGAGGACTTTCCCTGCCCGGGAGCGCCACGCATGCGTGGTTCCGCCCCCTGCGCCGGCCGAGGTGTAGCTGGCAAGCGGCAGAGACGGAGCAGGCCGACCACCAGCTGGCCCAGCCCAAGGGAGGTAAGGCACCTGCCGGAAAAGGGGGAAAAAAATGGCGGACAAAAAAAAAAATGGCGGACAGCCTTGCTTGGCGACCCCTGTAAAATGGTCGATCGACCCCAAATGGGGTCCCGACCCACAGGTTGAGAACCACTGGTTTAGCAATATAGAACTCACATGAAAAAGTAAATTCAAGGAATTAAAATATTCCATTATTTTTATTAAAGTTACAGTGTGAAATATTTATACATCACCAGTTTTCAAATCATCATTTAAGAATGCTAATTACAAGAAGTGTACATATTTTATACAATAATATACAATATCCTATTAGATAACTAAACACATACCTATGAGGGCAACCTTGACAGATTTTCTGATCGGCAAAGGATCCTCCCAAAACTTTACTTAACATTGCTGGATGACCTAAGGCTTTTAAAGCTTCATCTAGGCTATCCACCAAAGAGTTAAAAAATTCTAAAGCATCATGTTGTTCTCGCAGATTTACAGGTTCACCCCAGAGTCTAGAATAAGATTTTTTTTAAATAAAATCAGATTTTGGGCAAATAACATTACATAGAAGTAAATATAATTGTTTATCTCAACCTTAAAAGTTAAAAGATGCGTGTTACATGTATACAACAATCTTCAAATTATATACTGATTTATTTTCAAAGAGGACTAAATTACCATCACCACTCAAATCAACCTTTTCATTTATGGGATAATGTGGTCCTTAAAATAATTAATGAGATAGGACTTAGAATGGCGCTCCTTGACTTCATCTTTTTTTTCCCCAAGAAAAATGCCATTGTGTCCACGCTAGATGTCAAAGGCTAATATTTCTAGATATATTTCAAGAATAGGAGATGGCTATTGTGAGAACTCCATTCCTATTTCCATAGCTACCTATTTTTAAATATTTCAAAAGAGGAAAATTATGATCAGCTAAAAAATGGTGGTGTCATTCACTACAATGCCTGGCATGAATTTGCTCATTGCTTATTTGATAGCCTTAGAAGGGCGTATCTAGTGAGGTAATTATGTTCAAATAGGTAAAGTGACCTCTCATCTGGATTACTTCAATGTAGTAAATGATGCTGGTGACTCTGCACATGTGACATCGCTATTCTGTGAGCTGCATTGGTTACCAGTGTGGTTCTGGGTACAATTCAAGGTGCTGGTTGTCATCTTTAAAGTCTTCATGGCTTAAGGCCAGGTTACTTCAGGGGCTACCTCTCACTAGTTGTTTCTACTCATCTGATCCAGTCAGGCAGGATGGGCATGTTTCAAATTGCCCAAAAAATGGCAGGGCCTAAAAGACATGCCTTTTCTGCTATTAGTGCCCACCTTGCGGAATGTTCTCCCTCTGTGGACTAGGACGATCCCAACCCTGCTGACCTTTTGTAAGGTCCTAAAGATTTGGTTATATCCCCAGGCAGGGGTCTGTTTCTTGGTTATGCTAGTGATTTGGTTTGTTGTTTCTTGTATTTTGAATTTTTATAGTGTTTGTTATTGTTTCTATTCTATTTTAATTCTGTTTGCCACCAAGAGTCATTCATTGAGATGGGCAGCCATATAAATTGGATAAATAAATAAATAAAAATATAGCTCAGGTATCTTTTATCCTTGAATATAAGATTGAATCTTTACAAGGAAATTATAATTGAGAATAATACCTGTGATATTTCAAACAGTAGTTTTAGATAAATCAATCATTATTGGTTTGATCTACATTGCTCTCATTTTTATTTTTATTTGCAACATATTTTCTTTATTATATATTCGACAAGACTGATTAACTATAAAATAAGAGCCTGGATTAAATGGAAACAATGTATTCCTTGTATTCTAAATTCAATCTGAAAAATTGCTAACACCAAGGTAACTGCCAGAATTAACAGTAAAAACTCCATAACTATTAGCCCGTATAGATTCCCCCACTTGGATATTTTGTTTCCCCATGAACAGGTAAAAAAGACAGGAATTCAGCCACAGTTAGGAAGTTCAAGGGGCAAAAATATTGTTAACATTCATGTTTTGTGCTTTCCATTAAACTTATATGCAAAAACTTCATTTCACACTCAAGGATCTTCCTTCTATGATGGAGCCCGCATGAATTTAAAGCTTTAGTTTGCATTTTGTTGTATCAACAACCTACAGCAAGATTTTCTCTAAAGTATCCAGTAATTTTTTTCTTTGAGCAATTTTAGCTTGCTTTCTACATAGAAGGTTCACACAAAACTATTATCAATTCAGAAATATAATTAAATTCTCTTAATGAGTGCATGCTGCTTTAACATATCACAGAAGACATTTCAACAAAAGTTAATTTCCCATTTACCTGAACTGTTTCCAAAATCCTCTTGGCACATAGTACTGTAATCTAGAAGCTGCTAAGTGGCCAAATATGACCTGGAGATGTCTTAATACACCTATGTTGTACTCTTTTCTGTCTTCTGTTTTACTTGAAGTTGGTTTATCTTCATATGGATGGGGATAGCCAAATACTTCATCTCGTGGGTCAACGTTGCTCTTAAAAAAAAAGAATCATATATGTATACATGAAGACAATTGCAAAGTAGAGTTTTGTAGCTGGACTTATAATGAACTACCCTTTTGTCACAGGATGATGGAGCTGATGCTTTCCCCACAACGATACTCCTGTGAAGTGGGTTGGGCTGAGAGAGAGTGAATGCCCCAAAGTCATCTAGCTCGGTTTTCATGCCTAAGGAAAGCCGAGAATTCAAAGAGTTTCCTAGTTTCTAAATCAGTTGGAACCATAATCCAACTAAGTTAGCACTTTACTGAAATTGCCCTGTGTAACAGCTCTACTACTGCTATTTGCAAATAGGCAACATATGTTTTTTTTGTAGACATAACCATCTCAGGCAGAATGACAAATCAGAATACAGTGAGAAGTACTTCAGACTCATTCACTAAAGTATTATTTGTTAAAATATTGATCCCTGAAATCAAGATCAAACAGTTGACTGGCTGGAAAAGTAAGGAGAGTTTGCCACAAACTGTAATTAAACTTCTCTTCTCCTTTCAAGCAAAAATGTGGGAGGGGAATGGCGAAGGTTCATAGCTCATCACTGTACATTCTCTTTAATTATGTCTTGTTATATTTTTCCATGACCAAAATCATGCTCCTCTGTCATCTCCAATATCTTTCCCTTTTTATCTTTTTTTAATAATCAGATTTACATCCATAAGTGTGTCGTGTCCATACTGTATTGAATGCCACTTCAATATCTTACATAGTATTTTGAAACATTAATGTAGCTTGCAATTCAGGAAATTTATATATATCATTCAAGATGTCAAATTTTAAAAGTCACTGTTTGGTAAAGAAAGAATATTGAAAGTATTTTAAAGAGGAGATAAATGATTTGAGCATAATGAATTAAGAAGAGTTTTAAAAGATAGGCCACATTTAATGCATTTGAGAAAGCAAGAAAACATCAAACTTGTGTAACATAGAAGGATATCTGCTTTAAAATTGCTGATATTACTAAGAACTAGCATAAAATCACAGAATGTGGCTTCTATGCTTTTTAAAATTGTTGGTAGTTAAAAATTTAAGCACAATTGGATGCAGTATCATATATTAAACAAAACGCAGTTATTACCTCATCTTGTTTCTCATCTCCAGACATGTCATCATCTACATCACTGCCTGTTCCATCAATTGCAAGAATTCCATTCCTGATGGCAGGAATCATATATAGTTGCTGAATGACAGAATTCATGTAACAAGTGGCTCCAGCATTTTTAAGCCCTACAAATCCCTTTGGTGGTCGTGGTCCAACAGGTGGCAGATATTCCCATTCTGTTAATGCTTCACACGCTAGGACAAATTAAATATATTAGACCATTAACAGCTTATAACTTGAAATATACTAGTAGACTACTTGCTACTTCTTAAAACTGTATTCATAAAACAAGTTTATTTCAAATAAAATTCCCTTAATAAATGGATTGTACATGAAAATGTGTAAGTTACGAATGACATCCCTCAGCATCTTTTTTCCTAAGTACAAACAGACAAAATAAAATCCAGTCAAAGGAAGCACAAAACTATATAGTAAGGCCCCTTTAAATAATTTATATCCAACTTATTTCAAGATGACTTGCGAAATTGCTAGATTTGTAAAACAATGTGTTAATTTGCCAAAACCGAACAAAGACTTGGAACAGGATCCAAAAATTAATGTTTCTAGGTTCCTCAAGCATAGGGGGACTAACAATACTTGGATGTTTTCTTTTCCAACTCCAATTATTCAAAATTCACTACAACCAGTCACTGAGAGTCTTTGGAGAAGCTCTAAGAACAATTTGGAACTGAAGCCTCTAAGAATGTAGTACCTGCCCAGTCCTAACCAGATTTAATTTTTATCTACTCCTTTTAGAAATATGATTATACCACCTAGCAGCCATCTCAAAGAAAAAGATTAGTTCAGGATTTAAGCAAGAAACAGAATATATTCTTTCTCATTCAAGACCAACAATCTTCTAAATTTTTAAAATGCTCAAAGGCTAAAATTTAGAGAAAGGAGCCTAATAGTCTACCAACCCAGCATTTTTCCCAAATAAATTATGAAAATATATGAAAGTATATGAATATAAAATTCATAGAAAAATGTTAAAATGTGAAATAGTACGTACTAGTTATCGCAGTGCCTATATAATACATTTCAGTCAAAGTATCTACTATTTGTTTGAGGTTACGGACACAGCCCACTGCTAAGGCTACCAACAGCTCAAATCCAGCATTAATGGTAGCTGGGGAACTACAGACAGGTATTGCCTGCTCAGCGGGTAATTCTCCATTTCTCATGTATTGCAAGTAAACATTTGATGCGGGAAAGATGAAATCATCTATTAATTCCTGAAAAATAGTAAATAAAACATCTGTTATTAATTTAGGAACTATCCAGATCAGATGAAACATTACTTAAGTGTCACACTGTCTTAGATTTTTAAAAGAGAGGATTATTTACCTGCAAGAGAGCAAGAAAACCTAAATTCCATAACTCCATTATGTAACGATAATGAATCATTCAGAAGACTATAGACCAGGAGTGTCAAACTGCCGGCCCGCGGGCCGGACACGTCACACGGAAGCCACGCCCACCCCATTGCCGGCAATGGCAAAACAGTGCCGATACATCGCGCGATGTCACATGACGTCGCGAGTTTGACATATCTGCTGTAGATTATTTTTAAAAAATATATGAAAAATGCCACGGGGGTGTTAATAAACAGTTTATCAAATCTATTTAGCCACAGCTGAGAGGCCTGATAATAATAAAAGTTACTTGAATAAAGGATTTCCAGGCAGGGAGATTTGCCCTAATTTTCACAGAGCAATTACTTGCCCTTAATTTGATACAGATGTCTTGTGCCATTCATATTTCAGTTAGGATTCTAGCATGCTCAAGATGAAATGAGGTGTTTTTTTTTTAAATGTATGGTGCATCATGTTACATTTATCTCAGTTACATAAATGACTCTTTATTCAATGATTTACTTTATTTAGAACTTTATAAAAATTGTGAAATGATAAAACGTTTTCCCTTCCTTCTCTCAAGAGAAACTTTGCTATGATTTAAATATAGATCTACATATTTTGAAGATTCCAAAATTCAATCAATTTAAGTTATCGTTATCGTTTTTGTAAATATGCTGGCATTTATTATAAATTATAATTTGTATATTTTTCACTTTGCTACTTTATAACTTTAGAACGTTTTGTACAGCAGTAACTTACTTTGATGAGATTAGCACCACCTTTTTCACAACCAATGTGATATTTTTTTTCAGGAGTTTGGAATGCCAATAATTCTTTGGTAACTCCAAGATGACCTTCTAGAATAGTTTCTTCTACACCTGTTTCTCCTGTCCTTTTCACTTCATCCTGAGGAAGGAGAATATTCAGACACATGAATTTTCAAACAACATTTTTAAGGAAGCATATATCAATTAATGTATTATAATTAGTATCCCATTTTTTATTTTACATATTTGGATCCAGGACAATTAACACTTAAATTTAAAACAAAATAACAAATGGTGACAAAACAAGGAAAAAAAAACCCTTACCCTGATCCTTTTAAGCCAGTCAATTTCATTATTAAGCAGAACTTCAGCATTGGGCACATTAATATTACTATTGTAAGCATAATTTAGAAGATGTCTTAACAGAGTAAAGTAATCTCCTGAATGTTTAGCACGTTCTCTTGCAGTACTCTGAAAGAAAATATCAACATAGTTGAAAATATACTTTCATTAATAGTCACAACACAGAATATTTCTTAAAGTCTATGTTCAGTTCAAACATCCCCATAAACAAGATTCCATTAAATTAGCATGAACATTTATGGTTACTTCTGAAGCACTTAATAGAAATCTTACTCCTTTCCTAATGACATAATTATGACAAATCACACTTGATTTATGTCCAGCTTATAAAGTTAACAAGCCAGAGTTCCTGGTTCATTTGTAAGCTAAAGAAACACTGGGTAGCTGTTACCATCAAGAGAAACTAATCAGCAATGATAAAGTGGCATGCATTAGCATAATTCTTGTATGAGTTTCCACATTAAATCTAAAATCCAAATGCATCAATTAAATTTAGAGAACTTTCACATAAAATAAGTTAAGATTTGGAGATGAATAACTTAACAAGCATCTGCATTCTATTGTGAAACAGTTTTGATAGAAATATTATATTTTCAAAATTTTCCTCTACTCTAATATATAGTCATAATACAATTTGCATGGAAGAAGTCAATTTGTGGGTTTATCATTCTGTGTACATCTTCCAGAAGATAAGGCAATTTACAGATTACAGAATACCGGTAAATCTGCCTTTTTTGAATAAAGACTTTTTATATATTGATTTGTTAATGTACAGTATATTGAGAAAAAATATGGACGTACAGTAACTAAAGTTAAATATGTATCATTGCCTATAAATATTGGGATATATATCCAAATGGTAAAGTTTAAAATGTCTTACCCCTAATACAGTAAATAACAAAGTTATAAAAAAAAGAAGAGGTCGTTGTCCCATACAACATCGAGTAGCCATTAAGAAGAACTGCTCCTGTGCCATTTGCCGAACAGTTCTAAAAATTTAAACCAGAAAAGAGAGATTAATACAGGTATTTTAAATAAAACTAATCTTAAAATTATGTAAAGGACAATCCACTGTTACTCCCTCTTTTTTTGTCCTTGGTGCAATCCATTATACCCATTATATACTCAGCAAATCCGATCCAGATCATCAGAGAAACCTCTGGAGCAGACTTTGAGAGAGTATGGGAAGCTGCAATCATCCTCTCCCTTCTGGCAAAAAAAAACAACTGCTTCTACTGATGGAAACATTCAAAGCAAGTCTATCACAAATGTTTATACCTATTTATACTCAAAAGCCCCGTTTCTTCTTTTTCACCAACAGCAACAACAGCAGCAGCAGCAGCACTACCACCACCCCCTGCCTATCTCAGGACCTCGGGAAGGATAAAAATGCCAAATGCAATCTAAATATTTGGCTGGCTGTGCAACCAATATAAAAAATGATTAAATGTGTATTTTATTTGTCTCATGTTTGTCACACATATGTGAAAAGGCTCTCTCATAAATTTTGGAAGACTCTCTTTTAGAAATGAAAATAATCTTCACTGTCATATTTATATAAAGACAGAATAAAACATAATAGTAACGTAAAATATTCAAATGTTTTACATTAGCAATTTTTTTTAAAAAAAACTTGAGACATCAATTTAATTCTTCATCCTAGTAATCCCAAACCTGAACTCTCAGAAAATACTCCCAACTTTTGACTATAATAGCTTATAATAATATATCCAAGCACTTAACATCAAACAGTAACTGCTAGCAACACTCATAAATCACTTAATTATCAAAATCCATTTCACGACTCTTTATTAAAAAACCTAGTGCAGTTGTGTTGATTTTCTTTTGATGATGTTCAATATTTTGCCTATCCAGATTAGTTATTTAGAGCAGAAGTATAAGTCATTGCAGCTATTTTGCTTTTCTTTTGATGGAGAGAAGACAATTATTCCTAGAGGACAACACTACCATAGCATTTCATAATATTCAGATTTGTTCTCTCTGCTATCTTAATGTAACTGCACAGTGACAATCTGGAATTAAGTGCAATCAGCATAAAAATAACACCCTGTTTTTTTCCTTTTTAAAGTAAAATCCAAATTAATCTGTACAAAGGGCTACATTACTGTTCACAAATGAAATTGCACAAAGAATAATAATCTTAGTTCAGGAAAGAAGGAAATGCTATAATTGTCCTAACATTTGAGACTTATTTCTACAGACTTTTGAGATTATGCATATTTAGCTTCCTATGATTTTATCAATCTACTTTTAATATAAGACTTATGACCAGTCCCTTAGCAACTTTCAAAGTTCCAATGGACCTACCTACTTGGGTGAAATTATGACCCAAATTCCAAGTTCCTATGGTCAGGCCCCCCTCCCAACTGCACTTTGGCAGCCATTTGTAGCATACCACAGTCACATGTCCAATTCTTACAATGATTTTGTTGAAAATCTGCATTATTTCCAGTTTTCAGCAAAACCATGCCCATAGCAAACCAGTAGTTCCTTTAATGATCATGGATTCATTTATTAATTACCGTGATTTCTTTAATGACCACCGCAAAGAAGGATGTAAAAATCAGATTGTTCAAGTGACCAACCTGCTTTATGACTATCACAAGTTATGACCGTGAGGGGTAGATTCCATTATGGTCATAACTCGAGAATTGTCTGAATTTGCAGACTACTCTAAGAAGTTTATCTGATGATTTTTATGACTACATAGTAATAAATACTTGTGATCAGGATAGGGAAATCAAGCTTCAGGTCATAGCATCCAATAAATATCAGAGATAAGGAGAGGAAGATTGTCCACCTAAGTAGCATATAAATAAAATTATATCATAACACTTTAGAATTAGGACCCAGTAATAAAACAAAAATAAAATAAAATAAAATGCAAATTACAGTTCAATAGTTGTACGTTACTTACTATACTGATCACCTATGATCATCTGCAATTGCTTCTAGAGGCATGGGAGTCCAATGAGCTTACTTTCATCAGCTTTATGCCACAGCACTCTTTTGCATGTGTATGTGATGTCACAAGGAACTGAATTGGCACCATGTGATTTTTGTCATTCTGCCTGCCCTGAAGGATACTACTGACTGGGGAGCAGTTGATAAAACAAATAAAATATTAACATCACTTACTTGCTGTGACAATGCAATAACAAATCAATGATAAATGTCTGCCATGCTTTTTCTTTACTTAGTGCATCCAGGGCTGTTGGAATCAAAGCAAAGCAAAGCGTCATCGCTTCAAGTGCTTCACAGCAAACTTGTTCATCTTCTGAATCTGGTTCATTGCCTGCATTTGTCTATAAAATAAAACAGAAATAAGCAGCATCACATACATGATAAAGTGGGATCAATTACTTTCTTAATTGTTCCTTCAAGCCCAAGGATACTACTTAATACACATACTACTTAACATCACAAAACAGTAATGGTATACTAAAATCAAATCTGAAAATGGAATTAAAGATTTGAAGAGGTGATAAAGTGCACATTGAGAAAATAATCTAACTATGCTGAATTGAAATAGATTTCACAGGAATTCAAATTACACACAAGGGATTGGTGCTGATGAAAATTGCACAAGGAAGGGAAGTAAATACAACATTTGGTCATGATTGCCTGCTTGTGATTATCTGAATCTAATTTTAGCACTTTGTCATGAGTCAAACATTTTAAGAGAAGAGGTTTTAATTAATTATCTGGAGTTTGTGTTTATTCGATAAATCTGTTTCTCAAAGGAATACTTTTCCCCCCACAATCTTTCACATTCAGAGGAGGAGAAATTAACAGCACTCTATCCTTAAGCTTTACTACAAAAATTCAAGCCACAGAATTTAGCCCAGATCCACTACAAGGAGCAGCCATACTTCTTTTCTGAAGTTATACAATTATAATCAAAGTATTACTTTAGTTTTACTAAAAATAATAAAAATCTAAAGCATCTCTTTGGGCAGATTATATTTATTTTCAGATGTAGCATAGGGTACAGATTATACAACAACAGGTAAATATCTGTTTTAATTAAAATTATTCTACGTAAAATATTTTACAAAAGTATTTCTTGCAAATATTTTACAGCCCAAAAGAAATCCCACTGGAATACATGAAATGTCATGTGAAATATGCATATAAATACAGATTTTATGTGCATCTACAGATTTAAACACAAAAAAATAATGAATTAAGCAATTTTGTGGCAAAAGCAATAATTTATATACAAATTAAATATTTTCTGAATAATCTTAAATAAAACATTTTTTCTACTAAGACATTATAGTTCTAACAGTATGCCAATAAAATTAGAAGAGCTACAAAAAAAATGTAAACAACCATAACAATGTCTATTATTTGTAAATAGACCACATGACGTTTCTTAGTTTGGTTCTTCCTATTAAAACCAGTTAGAAAGAACTGAATGCTGGTTCAGCTTTCTTACCTTTTCATAAATTTTACTAATATCTTCATTTGAGCTGAATACCAGTTGTACTGATCCACATCCCGAAGCCCATACTATTTTTTGCACTGCTCTAATAACGCAAATATCAGGAATAAACTTTGAAGCCTAAAAACAGAAAGACAAATATAATAAGTAAAACTACCATTTCACACATTCTGTGTTTAAAAATGAATCCATGCCATAGCAATCCCTAGTCTTGCATCAGACTCATAGAAACACAATTTAGTCACCTAACTCAGTCATCTACTGCAGCCACTTCCAGAGTCTTCAAAGAGAGCTTTCTCATCATTTGCACTTTCTTTACAATTACATAGGGTAGAAATGTAAATCCTATCTGCAGCTGTCTCTTCCCATAAGCACCCTCTGAGATTTACAAAATGCCTTAGGTACAATTCAAACTGAGGAGGACAATACATGTGCTTCTTGCAAACCACATTATTTATTCATGATTTGCAACAAATTAATTCACAGTAAATATAACTGAAAGAAGGTACAGCTTACATTTGTACAACATAGTGCCCACTAGAAAACCCCTTGAGAGGATCAGGTAGCTGCAAATGGGATTCAAAGAGCCTCCATTCACTTATAGTCTCTCTTGTATGTGCTCTTCAATGTTTTTTTTTCCCCAAAAAACCAAAAATAGTTCAGAAACAGGCTATAAATTTAAGCCAAAGAGTTTGGAAGTGTTCAATATTTAACCATACTAACCTCGTCGGATATTTGCTGTGTAAGGCGTATTGCTACATTTCTTAACATGCACTCTGAAGTTGGATTGGGAATATTCTGCAGAGCAGTTTGCAATACCACCGCCTGGTCATGAGTTGCCTGGTTGATCTGCAATGATTTATTTTCAGTATTATTAAATGGAGAACATATTCTGTCCAACAGTAAAAGTATGTTGAGAACATTTTTTCCATTGCTTTTATGCAAACACAACCAAAAATATTAATATGAATGTTCAGTTATCCTTATGATATGAAGTTTATTAAAATAGAACTGTGCTGATAATTCCTACATCAGAGATTTCATCTCATACAAACTTTTAATACCATATTTTATTATAAATCTTTGAATAAGTCACTATTTTCAGTGCCGTTGTAACTTTGAACGGTCACTAAATGAACTGTTGTAAGATGAGGACTACCTGTACTTTCTTTTCCTCCATCAATCCTGAGTTGTTTGTCTGTCTATTTACAAGTCTATGATGCTCAATGCAAACATGACATTAAGCAGCTTTCAAAATAGTGCAAACTGGAATAAAACGAATATAAAATTTGTAGCATAAACCAAACAATAATATTAAGAAAGCCTTTCGTATTCATCATCACACCAAGAAATCACACTACCAGTAAATAGCCAATCACTGGATATAAGGGTAGGAATCTATCATTTTACCAGTCCCTAACAGCTTTTAAATAACCAGATCTTAATGATTTTCCTAAATGCCAGCATAGTTATTATTTGAATGCAGGTCAGATTAAGCTATATAAATGTTCACTTCTAACTTATGCTATTCTCTATGTACTTATTTACTATCCTTCCACTGGCACCTTACCAATTGTGATCATTAAATGGCTCCTGATGGAGAAATGGACTTTATGTGATCAAAAGGTCCAAGCTATGACTTCAAATTTAAGATAACAGCAGGAAGCATTCATGCAGAAAATAATGAATGCTAACAAAATGACAAAGGAGAGGAAATGAAGCCCACAGTTTCCAGAAGCCTTAGATAAATTTATTTGGTTCAAATGCCAATGTGAGAAGTAAATGAGAATAGGATCTGCATACGTTTTTTTTTTTAATGATTGGAAGCTATGTCAACTTTTTTTCTTTATTTGTATTGTTTCTAACACTTTTATTTTTCTATTTTTAATATACCCTTTCTTGTTTGGTTATATAAAAACTTCTTAATAAAAATTATACAAAAATAATTATGGTTACCGGTGACATTGGGCTTGTTCCCTCTACAACTGGTTGACAAGCTTCTGCCACAGCTCTCACGTGGCCATAACCAATTGCAGTCAGCAGTAGTTTTGCTATTTTTAAAGCATTTAGATAGGCCCCCCTTCTTGTTTCCATATCTGCATTTGGCAGGAAATTATTTCTAGTCAGCATACTCAATACCAGAGGTAAACCACCACTTTTTAAGAAATTGAACTGAAAGTCAGTAGCTTCTTCTCCCAGAGGCGAATTGGCAGGCATTAACAAGGCATAAACTACCTGGAAAATACAGAGAAAAGATACAAAAATGTCATTTGAGTAAAATTGCTTTCAAAAGTCAGTCATTGGACTGCAGGATGGGTATGAAATGTATAATTATTAATATTTGTCAGAATAATGTGATAATTCATTAATATGATGATAATAATATCAAGGTCCAAAAACTGAAGGTTGTGGCATAAACTGCTTGTGATGGTCCCAGTGGTTATCGACACTGGGTACCATACCAAAAAAATCTTGGACAGCACTTAGTAAATATATAATTGACAAAATTTCCATCTGTCAATTGCAAAAGGCAACACTGCTTGATCTGCACATATACTGCACTGATACACTACAACATACTAGTTCAGTGATGGCAAACCTTTTAGAGACTGCCCAATTTGCAACCCAAAACCCACTTATGCATCGTTGAATGCCGGGTGGATGTGGCCCATTGGCTGGGCGTGGCTGCGGTAGTAACGGCAGACTGAGGGGGGGACTAAAAAGTTCAATCAATCAATTCCAACTTTGCAAGATCTTTTTTTTTCCCCGCAAGAAGTTAAAATTGACTGATTGAACCTTTTTTTTTTTTTTTTTTTTTTGCACATGGCGAGGAGGCCTAAAGTGAAAAGGTTTTATAAAACCCAGCTGAAGGCCTAGGACTGGGGCGACGGTGCGCGTGCCCACAGAGAGGGCTCTGAGTGCCGCCTCTGCGACCCGTGCCATAGGTTCGCCACCACTGTATTAGTTTATTGTAAAGAATTGCATATGAAAGGTCAACATTAACTAAAGAACTGGCAGTTTTTGATTTCACATTATTATACATAGCAATATAATAATTGTATTATATGCTTAGGCCACCCAACACCCAGAAACCCCAGAAGGTTTTCCCTATGTTCCATGTCTAAAAATCTCAAAATTAATAATATAAGGAATACATATCTTCCCTCCCTCTCAAATGGTATCTACAATTCCCCAAACGAGAACCCAGTGACATTTCTTAGATTCAAGTAACATAAGAAAAAAACTTTTGGAAAGCTGTAGTATAAAAATAGTACATTTCTGGAAAATAACTACAAGCCTCTTTATTTCAGTCATTAAAACAATGACTGAACACCATAAGCAATTTTTTTTTTTAAAAAAAAGACTGGATTAATACATGACTTTTTTCTTCTTCTTTCAAATGTGTTCAATTCTCAGAAACTGCCTGGACAAGTCTGCAGTTTTCTTGGCAAGGTTTTTCAAGAAGTGATTTCCCATTGCCTCCTTCCTAAGGTTGAGAGAAAGTGACTAGTTCAAGGCCACCCCAGCCAGTTTTATGTCCAAAGAGGGACTAGGACTTACAATCTTCTGGTTTCTACCTTGATGCTTTAACTACTACACCAAGCTGGCTCTACACTTAGCTAAAATATTAACTCTACACAAACCTCCGTAAGATATAGCACTTGTGAAGCAGAAGGTCCAAAGAACAGAGAATCAAGGGATGGACTAAGGCTGCTGTCACCAAGTTTTGCATGGTCTAAACAGATAGCTCTTAATTTCTCTACAGTAGTATTATCTGAAATACATAAAACAAAATTTAAAAGTATTTCTTCCCCCCAAATATTAAGAAAAACATTGATTTCTCAAAACATCTTTAAAACTGAAATACACTGAAGTTACATCAGAAATCAAACATCAAAACATTTCTGAAACATGTTTCGGCATTTTTCAAGATTACTGTCAATGCTGCTAACATCAGATGTTCTGGCTTGACAACATAGGGAGATGTAGCTTTGCTTCTTTAACTTGTGTGTTACTTTTAGAGTTAGAATTAGTTGATGCTGGGGGGAAGGAAGAATGTCTCTCAAGGCTGTTTTGAAATAAGAGAAGATAAGAATTTGGCCAGGTTGTTAAACAGGAGGGAAAGCTTACAATTCAAACTAATTGGAGAATGTGATTTATGACGGTTAATTAGAGGGAGGAACTGTGCTTTTGATACTGTGTGCTTAGGGGAGGGAAATCCAGATTTCGGCAGCTATGCTCTTTTGATTAAAGATTCCTTAAGGTAAACAATGCCTCAAGGTTCTTTGAAGAATTGCATCTGTCGGAATCATGACAACTACATGACTTCAGTGCTGGCCCAAGTAAACCAGCTTTTTAAAGGTGCTGCTGTCAGATATAACAACTATGCTCATCCATAAAGTACTTTTCCCATTTTGAATCTAAGTGCAAACTTCTACTATGTACTATGCTAATTTTGAATTTTAATGAGAATTAAGTAAGTAACATTGATTATTGTATAGTGGTAAATTTGGAAGCATATAGTGGATATAAAATGTCTGCACACTCCTGTTAAAATGTCAGGTTTTGGAGATATAAAAAGAAATCAGACCAAGACAAATCACTTCAGAATTTTTCTACCTTTAATACAACATATAAGCTGCAAATTTCAATGGAAAAATAAATCTTTCAGGGCAATAAAAAATAAAAAACTTACAACATCATGGTTACAATAAATGTGCACATCTTCTTATAAATTGGGATATAGGGTGTTCAAAATTAACCAATCGTATTCAAACTCATATTAAACAGTAGTTAGTATACACCTGCCATCAATTAAAGTGTCTCTGATCAAGCCCATATCAAATTCAGCTGTTCTAGTGGGATTTTTCTGACATTTACTCAGTTGCCTCTTATAGCAAAGCCATGGTTTGCAAAGAGCTTACAAAGCATCAAAGAGATCTCTCATAGTTGGAAGGTATTAGTCAGGAGACAGGTACAAAAAAATTCCAAGGTATTGGCTATACTATGAAGACAGTCATCAACAAGTGGAGAAAATATGGCACAACAGTGACATTACTAAGAATTGGATGTCCCTCAAAAATTCATGAAACGAACAAGAAGAGAACTGATCTGAGAGGCTGCCAAGAAGCCTACAGCAACATTAAAGGAGCTGCAGGAATTTCTGGCAAGTATCGATTGTGTACTACATGTGACAACAATCTCCTTCAAATGTCTGGACTGTGGGATAGGTTGGCAAGACAGAAGCCTTTTCTTACAATAAAAAACATCCATGTCCAGCTACATTTTCCAAAACCTACATCAAATGTGTTATGTCTGATGAGATCAAGGCTGAATTTTTTGGCTATAATTCCCAAAAGTATGTTTGGCGCAAAAACAACACTGTACATCAAAAGTACACCGTGCCCAGTGGAGCATGGTGATAGCAGCATTATGCTTTGGGTCTGCTTTTCTTCAGCTGGAACTGGGGATTTAAGGTGGTGGGAATTATGAACAATTCCAAGTGAATTTTGTGAATTGTGAATTCAGTGAATTTTGGCACAGAACTTTCAGGCCTCTGCTAAAATGCTGAAGATGAATTTCACCTTTCAACATTACAATAACCCAAATCATACTTTCAAATCAACAAAATAATGGCTTCACCAGAAGATGATCAAAGTTTTGGAATGGACCAGCCAGAGCCCAATCCTGAATACAACTGAAAATCTGTGAGATGATTTGATGAAGGCTGTGGACAGGAATGCCCTCAAGGAATTGAGAGGGATGAAATGGATCAAGAGACATCTAGAGCACCACTGGTGGAAGACAAGGACGAACAATCGAATACAGGTAAGAGCTGCTATTAAGGCCTACCTCGTGGCAATTCAGGTGGTGAAGCATTAAGTACTTCTCTGCACTAACTGCATGTGCATATATCGGCCAGCGACCCTCTTTAAGGTGAGCCATCTCCTCCTGGGAAAGGAGGATACAAAGGGTCTACCTGAAGGGGTGCAGTGAGGAATTTGCTGATTTTCTGGAAGACAAAATTGCTCAGCTTTGTTCCCAGTTAGATGGCAATGTGGAGATATCTGGTTTTTGCCGTTATCTGGGATTAGTTTCACCCCACTGCTCCTGAAGAAGTAGACAGGATCCTAGGCAGTATGAGTGCGAGCACCTGTATTTCAGATCCATGTCCCTTCTGGCTTGTGAAAGATTCCGAGGAAGTGACATGTGGGTGGATTCCGGTGGTGATTAATGCTTCCCTATGAGAAGGGATGATGCCCCAGCATTTTAAGGAGCCCTTCGATACCATTAACCATGTTATCCTTTTGAAGCGGTTTCAGGGGTTGGGTGTGTGGGGGATCTGTGTTGTCTTGGTTCAATTCCTTCCTCTATGGTTGCTCTGAGTTGGTTTTGATAGGAAGCAAGAGGTCCAGCCGTTGTCCCTTGCTTTGTGGAGTCCGGCAAGGCTCAGTACTCTCTCTGCTTCTGTTTAATTAACAGCTACATGAAGCCCCTAGGTGAGATCATCCACCACCATGGACCGAGATATCATCAATATGCTGAGGACAACCAGCTATATGTCTCAGACCATGGCGAGTTAAGCAATGCTGTTACCTCCATCTTGCAGTACTTGGAAGCTATTAAGGGCTGGATGGGGAGTAAAAGGCTGAAAGTGAACCTGGCTAAGACTGAATGGCTCTGGGTTTGGGGTTCTTTGGTCCATAGAGAATTGCCATCACTGGTCTTAGATGGGGTGACATTGCCCCAGACAGACTCAGTGCATAATCTGGGGGTTCTCCTGGACTCACGACTCCTGCTTAAGAAAGTGGCAGTTGTGGCCAAGAGGGCCTTTGTGCAAATGCGAGTTGTGCACCAGTTACACTCTTTCCTGGACCAATCTTTCACAGTCACTCATCCCTAATCACCTCCCATATCGACTATTGCAATGTGCTCTACACTGGGCTGCCCTTAAAAAGTATCCAGAAGCTCAGATTGGTTCAACATGCAGCAGCCCATGTGATTTGTGAATACCTAGATGTGCAGAAGGTGTTATCTCTCCTGCAGGAGAGGCTGCATTGGCTGCCGATTTGCTTCTGGGTACAATTCAAGATGCTGGCTGTCACCTTTAAAGCCCTACGTGGCTTGGGATCAGGTTATTTAAAGGACCGCCTTTTCCCATTCCTCCATATCTATCCAACTCACCAGAGCTGGGAGGCAGGGAATGTTGCAGGTCCCTTCTCCTAAGAAAGTACAACTGGCAGGACCCAGAAGAAGGACCTTCTCCATGATGACTCCCTCCCTTTGGAACATCATCCCCGCAGAGATTAGATTGCCCCCCACTTTGACACCCTTTCATAAAGCCGTGAAGACCTTGTTTTACCAACAGGCCTGGGGAACCCAAAGTGGGATGGAACCCATCAAGTGGCTTATCTGATTGTTGTTTCCAGGGGAGTGGGTGATTATTTTTATTGTTTGTATATTGGGTTTTAATTTTTGTAAGCTGCCCACAGTCACTGAGAATGAGTGGGCAGCCATATAAATTTAAATAAATAAACACACACAAACACCAACAAATGCATGGAGTGCATCTGCAAGGAAGAGTGGCTAGTTTCCCAAGGCAAGATGTGCCATGCTGATAGGTTCCTACCCCAAAAGACTGAATGCTGTCATAAAATCAAAGTGTGCTTTAACAAAATATTAGTTTAAGGGTGCACACACTTACGCAACCATATTTTTGTAAGTATTTTTTATTTTTCCCTCTCTGAAAGATTTCAATTTTTCAACTGAATTGTACAGTTTATATATTGTATTAAAGATGGAAAAAAATTCTGAAGTGATTTATATTGGTCTGGTTTTTTTTTTACATCTCAAAACCCTCGCATTTTAAGAAGGGTGTGTACACTTTATATATACTCTTTATGGTCTTTCCATTAGCAAATATATATTTCAATTGAAAATTATAGAATAAAAAAATTACCTGGTGGCATTAATTTCATAAGGATACGTGCACCATCTCTAAGGGATGGCATATTTAGACTACTGCCTAGGTCTGCAACTTGCCAAAGAAATGAGATGTATCTAGGATGCAGTGACATAATCTACAATAAAAATAAAAACTTGTCATAAGACGCAAATTTTAAATGTTTGCCTAGCATTATAAATTTAGATGTTCTTTTACTTACAACTCCAGGCAAGCAACTTTCAACTTCTGGATTTGGACCATCACTATAATGATTGCCATGGTTACCAGGAGAACCCGTAGAAGAATCAGAGGAACTATCAGGGCTTGAAGGCATATTGGAACTTATCTGTGTAAGCTTTGCTGTAATTAACTGCAGACAGAGTAAAATGCAGATGTAAATTGATAAAGTGCATGAAGTAGTGAAGCATAACTATTCTTAAAAGCTTCCGAAGGTATTAAAACTACAAGTGTGCAAGTTTACTAATGCATAATTCTATCATTACAGATTATATTTATATTGTTATGGACATACATTTTATCAATATATAATTTTTCTTAGTACTTACTGTTTTATCTTTTAGATTCAATTGTCCAATTAATTTCCTATCATCTACAGGATCTACTAGTTCGCCTCCAATAAATAATTCGACTTTGGTATGTGCACTGTTGGCTTTAATACGGTTGAGAATGCAACGTCTGACTGAGCCAATGGTATCGTTTGTATGAGACCAAACATCCAAATCTTCCACCTGACGACCTTGGTTTGGAAAACGAACTACCAGAGACATGTGCTTACCACGAAAAGCTCTGAAAATACAGGGAAATGAAATTCTAGTTAAAATTATCCTAGATATTTAAGAACATTAATAAATATGCTTACTTATTTTTAAAACATTGACAATTTGCTAATAAGAAAATGTGTTTACTTCTAAATTCTTCTGACAGGGATGGCTATTCATTTTGTAAGTCAGATAAAAATAATATTTTCCTTGCACATGTGAAGTATAATAAACATGACATTTATAATTCTGTTGAACTGCACATACAAACTATTATATTTAGATAAGACTTCAGACAATTGAGAAAATAAGTTGAGTAGCACAATCCTAAGCAGATGCACTCAGACGTATGTATTTTATTGTAATACCTATATAATAACTACTAATTTAAACCATATCTAATTAATAATTCAATCATTGCACCCTAGGAAACTTTTCCACAAACCTTGACATCGGTAGAATTGTTCGTTCTTCATGGTAATCACTATCACATTCATTTATATACTCTCTTAAAACAGTCAACACTCGCACCATTCTTATTGCTTCTTGTCTTGCACAATTAATACTGTCTTTATCTCCATCCAAAACACATAAAGTATCATAGGATGCCTTCAAACGATCAAAACAGGACTGAATAAAGTCCTCATGGATAACTACCTGTACAAATACCAAAAGAGCCATCATTTTATCAATTATTAAAAATATATATAACATGAAAAACAAACAAAAACCTTCAAAAAATTACAGGTTTTCCCAGTTTTATAATTCCAAAAACTATTTTTTAAAAGTTCATTAACAAGCCAAACATATTTACTCTAGCGGTATAAGCACTGTCCCAAATAAAAAGAATATTAATCATAACTGTCATGTAGTCTGACAGAACATCAATGCTTTAGCCCAGTTAACAAAGATTAATGTCAAAATAGCAGCCTTCACTAGTCCAACCCTTCCTGGCACAGAACATTACATTATTCTAAAATAATTAAAATTATGAACCACCCAAATTAGGTAAATATATCTCCTTATGTCAGAGCACATTTGGGGAGGTTGATAATATATTATTAACCAGGTCTATATTAAGCAATATTCCATGTGAAATTTGAAATGATTATTTCTGAGCTAGGCTCTTTGGATGACTATTTACAAAAAATGGTTTTATTCTTCTGAAATTGCAACAAAACTTTCTATAGAAATAAATTACTGTAATATTTTACCTGATTAACCTGTAATCTTGGACCAAGGTTGGTATAAATCTCCTTCAACAGATCTATTGCTCGACTGGCAATATCATCATTCCCTTGAATTACAACCTAAACAGCAACATAAAGCATACATTAAGCTAAAATTGTACAACGAAGCCTTGTATACTAATTCTATTTAAAATGATCTAAAATAGCATATGCCCAACCTATTGTTTTGGAAATGGAATGTTCTTAAAAACTCTGGAATATCCATACTATTCTGCTCATTCTTGAAGTTTTATGCCATTTTTCAGAGTCCTCCAAACAATAGCAGTTTCTGTTATTGTAGGAGTATTCTGGTTCTTTTCCCTCTAATTTGGAAATAATAAAATCTTTCTGTGGGCTGTTAATGGAGTACTCTGAAGAAGGGGTTGACCATTATTCTCAAATGTTTTTAAAGAATTTATATCATTCTGACAAATTATTTCATCTGTGTGATGACATCACATATGCAATAATTTGTCACAATGATTTAATGATATTTACATCAACTCCACAATTATATGACATAAATTAAGTAAATTACTTAAGAAAATTGCCTACGAAGTCCATTATGTCACAGTCAAGGTTTTGCTATATAGTTGATAAATTTGTTGGGAATAGAATAGAATAACAGAGTTGATTCTTTCTTCCACTTATATGTAATTATTGATTTACCTACTTTAAAAAAATTAGTATTTTTCAATACCATTAAGACCATTAACAGAAAGTAAATGACTGTCTCAATTTGAATAGATGCATATTTTTACACGTACTCTCCAAAGATAATCCAGTCCTATTAACTCCAAGTCATCCATCATATAGGCTCGTCTCTTTGCTACTAGCTTTCCTTCCCGACAGTTCACAGCTTTGAAGAAACGTTCAAAACATTTCATTCCATTTTCTGTTAAGAGTGAAGGGTCCAATTGAAGAACATTGTTTTCAAAAAAGTCTTTATTAATGTCAGGGTCTAGGTCCGGTTCATCTCCCATTAGTTTAGAATACCATTTAAAACAGGCTTCACGATCACACAGATAGACTGCATTTTCTGCTAAACATTTCCATATTTGTTTTGCCTGAGGAGCACAGAGCCATAATTGACCATCCTTCAGTAAAAATCTTGCAGAAAACAAAGAAACAAATCATTAGAAATATGTATTAATCCCATGAATACTTTAAAAATAAAGTTTACCATGTATATACCTAAATTCCAAAATTTTGAAATTTCCAAGAGAAAAAAAAGATAATTTTGTAGTATTATATAATGTGTACATTACATACTTTTACATTACTATTCTTAATGTATATTCATAAAAGGAAGTTACTGTATTTACTATTCTTTGACCACTGTACAAGATTAAGGGGATAAATACAAGAAAATCTGGACAGGCACTGTATCTCTGTGAATTTCATTTAAGATATTTCCTTCCAAATCCTGACAGGCCAAGTTTCTCTTTAATATTTACTAATTGCTGGATTCAACTAGCTATTCAAATTTGTTTTGATGAATCAAGAAATATCAAGATCCATTTATTCAAAAAGGAACTACTTCCTTTTCCATCCTTCTGGAGCAGCTTGGCTATGAAGTAATTGTGCTGACTACAGGAATTCTAGTGAAAACAATACACCTGAAATGGGTGCATTTGAAAGAGGTTAAAAGGGTAGGTGTATCAATATTTAATGTAAATGAATGGAATTAGGCTGACAGAATCAAAATTAAGATGCAAGAAGTCTAATTTCTTGCTAAGGATATTTCTGTAATAATCTTTACAAATCGGAATCAGCTTATGCTACATATATTGCAATATGAATATACAGTTCTTCACCTAAGTAAACAAATATATTTTCTCTGCTTAAAAAACATTTATTTTTACTCTGCCCCCCCCCCAAAAAAAACACAAGCTATGCTTAAACCAACCTTAAAAAGTTCAACCGCTCTTGGACTTCTTGAACATGACTGTATCTACTTCCTGGCCTTACAGTTTGTGGATCATATTCTCCATGCTCTGCAATTTTTTAAGAAACAGATGTTATACATGTTTAATTATTAGTAAGTCCCAATGTATCCAAGGAAATCCATTTAGAATTGCCAACATTTTAGTATTGCTGAACCATTTATCTTTTAGATATGCAACAACTGAGATAGCCATATCAATGCCCTTTATGATTCTTTTATACCTTAGTCAAAAATTCTTTGCCAAAATTTATGAACATACAATTTAAAAATGTTTCATAAACTGCACAGAGATAGACTGTGAAAAATATTTTACTTTTGCAAAACAAATCCATGTCCTGAATACTTTTTGTTTATAAATGGATTTTAGATGTTCCTCTATAAGTGGCTGATCTCACATTTCTCAGATTAAAATGCTAGCCTTCAGTAGCTAACAATGTTTAGGAGAGAAAACGCTTATATTTTAATAAGCTAAACAACTTTAAAATTTAACTCACCTTTAGCATACTGTCGCATGCTTTCCATATATGCTGAAAGATTTTCTGCAACTAAAGTTACTAGAGCATGATTGTGCTGAAGTTGATTGATTAAGTCATGACGATAAAATACATGGGGGGCTCGCTGAGTTTGACTGCAATTAAAAACATAAAAATTATAGGTGAATATTTAATATATTTCCATTCAATACTATTAATAGAAAGTAAATGACAGTCCAAATGGTATTACATTTTTAAACTAAAATCCCATTCAAAACTGAATAATCATAAAACAAGTCAATTTAAAATTCAATATGTAACAGAATAAACATCAGGAACTACAGCTTTATATTAAAGGCACTCTCTTCATAAAATCTGTCATGGAACTATTTCATAGCTTAATGAATTGTTCAACAGCAAATTGCTCTCTATACCAGAGGTCCCCAACCTTTTGGGCACCAGGGACTGGTTCCGTGAAGAGAGATTTCCCATGGACCAGAGGGGGTGTGGTTTCACGTACTGCCTGCATCCTGCAGATGGGGCTTTGCTTGTTTGCGCAGACCAATTTCTGGCATGCTGCGGACCGGTGCTGGTCCACGGATCAGGGATTGGGGACCCCTGCTCTATACCATAATACAATCTCTTTTGAAAAACGTCTGAACCATAGTTTGCCATCTAGCAAAAATTATTAACAAATTTAAAATCCAATATGAAGATGAATGCTGTTTTCTGACGGAAGAAAGATGTACATCCAATATAGCTGATAGCTCCTAAGAACCCTAGAACCACATCACAAAAAATCAGTGGCAGAATATAAACGGTGATTTCAATCCATTTTTAGCTGTTTGGGATAATTTTATGGGTCAAACATCTTGACCATCCCTCTCTTCTGGTGAGAACAGATGGTTCTTGCTTAATGATCACTCATTCAGTGACCGTTCAAACTTATGGTGGCACTGAACAAGTGCTACTTATGTAAGTCCTCATACTTACGATGTCACAATGTCCTACGATCACATGATCATCATTTGTAACCTTCTTTGCTGGCTTCCAACAAAGTCAATGGGGAAGCCAGCAGAAGGTCATGAATACTGACCATATGACATTGCATTTGATGACTGCATAGGCTTCGCTTAAGAATGGAAACCAGAAATGCAAAATTTCCATTACTAAGTGGTGTGGTCATTAGAATTCCTGGGGAGAAAGTTTAGAGTTGGTTTCACTTTTGACCATGCTGATATTATGTATCTAAAAAATGTTCTTTGAGGAAACTTCAAGCCTCAGAGTTCTGATTTGTTTGGGTCCGTTAGTTGGAACCTTAACACATACATTGTACTAGATTTTATTACAATTTACTAGAAAATTATCTTAACTTCTCACCTTAAGTTTTGTGGCGCTTCTCCAAACAAACTACAAATTTCCCTAATTTGTTTCAAGGCTGGAATGACCCATTTGTCATTTGTGCGAAGTTCTTCTATAAAACGATCTATCCACTGTATTTTTTGTGTATCTCGATCCTTCAGGAAAAGAAAAGGAAGCATAAACATGAAGGAATGAGGATAAAGATAGGCCAAAAATGAACTAGAAACATAAGATCATCCTGGGCAAAAGCAGAGAGAACCTACTTCGAAATAATAGATGCGAACTATAAGTATAAAATCAAGTTGCTTCCTTATCCTGCTTGTACATGGAAAGCTAAAGTTTTGTCAGAATTTGGGCCAGCTATTATTCCTGCCCCAAAGATCCAATACTGAAATTTTTATAACAATGTACCATTTATTTATAGTATATATGCATAACCAGGTATTATTTTTGTAAGGGGTGCGAGAATATATCAGAAGCGTTCTAGGGGCGCGGGGTATAGAAAAGGTTGGGAACCGCTGATATAGAGGGATGTATTTTCCATAATCAACACTAGTTTGAGAAGACTGGCAAGCTCAAAGCTAGGTTGCTGCTGAAACTATAGCACTCCAAAAGATTAAATCAAAACTAAATTAGACCCCTGATTCAAGAGCAATCTTTCCACAACATATTTATTTATTTATTTATTATTTAAATTTATATACCGCCCTATCTCCCTTACGGGACTCAGGGCGGTGAACAGGCAATAATAAAAATCACAATAAATATTGAATAAAAAGCCTGCTTTATAAGACACAAAGGAGCAATAGAAGAGCAGCCATTAGCCACAAAGAACCATCACGTACTATTTTATACCTCATATTGCCCACACTAACTGATGTTACATCCCTTGCAAGAACTGCCCTTATAATCACAGGTCCTGCAAGGAAGGGGATGAGGAAAGGGCAGAGGTTTCTGAATATTTTCTAAAAATCAACATATGTCACTGCCTGTGTTTCTATAGCTCTCAAATGTTCTTCCAATACTCTCATGTATTATTTTCCCCTCTACCTGCCAATTTTGCAGACCAATCTAGCATGCTATATATAAGCCTTCTGATGCCCTCTGCACAGACACTTGTATACAACTCGGAGACATTCTAGCTTCTTCTGCAGCCTGCCTGCCTGCTTCACCTGCTAGTGCAGTGGTTCTCAACCTGTGGGTCAGGACCCCATTTGGGGTCGGATCGACCATTTCACGGGGGTCACCAAGCAAGGCTGTCCGCCATTTTTTTGTCCGCCATTTTTTTCCCTTTTCCGGCGGGTGCCTTACCTCCCTTGGGCTGGGCCAGCTGGTGGTCGGCCTGCTCCGTCTCTGCCGCTTGCCAGCTACGCCTCGGCCGGCGCAGGGGCCGGAACCACGCATGCGCGGCGCTCCCAGGCAGGGAAAGTCCTCGACTTATGACCGGTTGGGTAGTCCTCGACTTACAACCGGTTTAGTCCTCGACTTACGACCGGTTGGGGTCGCGGCATTAAAAAGGTTGAGAACCATTGTGCTAGTGGGACGGGTGCACACACACACACATCTAAGTTATCTGCAGAGTTCAGCAGTTTACCTCGAGCAACCTACACAACCAAGCTGCCTAAAGTGCAAGATAGAACTGTGACTCAAAAACCTATGAAGGAAGTCCATGGCTTGCTGGCGGGGTGTGGGGTGGGGCAGGTAAGAGTCCTGGATGCTAACCTCTAAGAGGAAATCTAACAAATGCCAGGCTGCTCTGTTGCATGGTGAAGTTGAATTATTAGTGGCTGGTTGCTGTACTCTTGGCAGGGCCCTTTGCTCTTAAGTTCCACATCCTCTCTTAAATTAGGCATGAACAATCTGCAAGCACTTTACAGCTACTGATAAAACTGCAGTGGTAAAATCAGAGCTACCTTGTGCTGTAAATGGTGAAGCAACTCTTCCTTCCTGGCTGACCTAAACAACTCGCTATCTGCTACTCTCCATAAACGGGCAGTGAGGAGAGAGCACATACACTTGTCAGTGTTCCCTGGTTAATCAGCTTGTGCACACAAAGCCATAGTCCTATGAGGACACCCAGACAGATTGGGACCACGTTATAGCATTTCAGCTTTGTGTGTGGAAGCACCCACTAAGTGCAAACCTCCCTTGAATTTACCCACCTACAATTTGAAAAATCCTGCTTTAGAGGATGGTGAAAACAAACATTTTCAATGAAATATTAGCAAGTTGATTGTTAACGGCTAACTAACAATTCATCCTTACCTGTGAACAACTGTAATCTAAAATTTTAATGTGGGCACTGAGAGCTTGATCCATGATATCAACTGGAACATCATCACTATGTGCTAAATTCCATAGAAGATTTAGTACTTTGTGTGCCATCACACCATCTTTATCATCTTCTGCAAGACGTCGGATTAGCTCAAGTAGCTTTTCACGTTGTTTTTTACTTGCATTTGTCCAACTTGCCTAAAAACCAAAGGGAAATCAATAGAAAGTTAAAAATACAGTCCTATAATACTAAGAAAACTTTAAGAAACTGTAATATTAAAATACAAATTAACGTTTAGAATTTGCATATAACTATTTTAAATAACACATACTGTGTTTTCCCAAAAATAAGACCCAACCAGAAAATAAGCCCTAGCCTGATTTTTTGGCTTGCGCCTAATATAAGCCCTACCCCAAAAATAAGCCCTAGTTAAGAGACTGCCCACTCCATCCCAATGCTCGCTACCGCAACGGGGCAGAAAAGCGCATGGTGCACTGGTGCCACTGCCAAGAGGTAACGTGAGGCAGATGGGGGGATGGAGCTGCCACATGTTGCCCACACCCGCTTACCTCAGGGCCCCTGCAGCCAGGCCACTCCCCACTTGTCCAACTGTTCAATGACCCGGCTGCCCACCCGCCTCTTCCCTTTCACTCCCCTCCTGAGCCAGACTGCCATGCTATGGAGGATGGGCGGGGGAGGCTCAGTTGCATTACCTGGTCCCCCTCCCCCGTTTCAGAACAGGGGAGAGTTGATACTGAAAAGCCTCCGCCACTGCTGCGCATTAGCCGCGTCTGCTGCTGAAGAGGCTTTCTTTGGTCCTTGCCGGCACCATCCAACCTCGCAGATCACCTGCTGGTGCTGACAGTCTCCAGTGGTGGATGCAGCTGATGCGCAGTGGTGGCCTTTTGCCATCATTCCCCCTGGCTCCGAAACGGCAGAGAGGGACCGGGTTAGGTGACCGAGGCTTTCCCGCCCATCCTCCGTAGCATGGCAGTCCGGCTCGGGAGGGGAGTGAAAGGGAAGAGGTGGGAGGACAGCCGGATCATTGAACAGGCAGTGGGAGGTCACCAAGTGGGGAATGGCCTGGCTGCGGGGACCCTGTGGTAAGCGGGTGCAGGCTGCGTGGGGCAGTTCTGTCCCACCTGCCTCACCTCACCTCGTGGAAGCGGCACTGATGCAATGTGTGCTCTCCTACTCCGTTGAGACCGTGAGCAACCAGACCGTAGGATGGATAGGACATATATCCATCCTACCATCTGGTTATATATATATATATCTGGAATGAGGGGGAGGGGGGGAGGTGGAGAGCAGGAACGCCTGAACAGCCGTCCTTCGCAGACTGGGGTGGGGGAGTTACGGGCGGGATAACAGCGGCCTTGGGGGTGGGGGAGGATGATGGCCCAACAGTGTGCCCGAATTGCAGCTTGAGAAACAACATCCGAGATCGCCCCAAAATGGGAGGGGAGGGAGACAAGGCACAGAAGAGCGATTGAGGATCGGAGAACAACCATAGGGGCCAGGGACAGGTTGCCAGATGCGGAGCAACTCGGCACATTATGGATGAGCACAATCAACAGGCCGATGACACGCTCGAGAAGCCGGGCGCAGAGGCAGGCTGTTACATAAGCTAGCTCCCAGATCTCCTTTCACTCCAACTCTGACGATGTCGGCAGTCTGGCCGACGAAAGCTTAGTGACTTTTTAACTACAGGCTTGTTTACATTAAACAGTCTGTATCCTGGTGTTCGTTTTTCTTTCTTTCAATTTGGTTAATATTAATAGTAAGACTTAAATTACTTTAAAATCATTTTCAAAGACTTCATTTGAATGAAAGCTTCTTCTCCAGCTCTTCTAAATCAAAGCAAATTCATGGTCTTACGAGTAGAATACCAATTTTTAATATTTTAATGTATTTTCCAATACCAATCAAATTTAATGCAAAGTATTAGTCAAACATATCTTACATACAACTCTTCAAGAAAATGCAAGAAACTCATTGATTTTTACCCATAAAAATTTCAACAAATCTGAACTATACTTAAGTAACAGGGGAATAAAGTTCTTCTTAAAAGAAAATTGGATTCCATTGTAATTCTTCATAAGTCTACTGCAAATTATTTGATTCTACTATATCTTTTGAAAAGAAATGTCAACCTGTCTCTTATACCTGTAGTAAAATATCAATGAAATATAATTGCTACATTTTAATATACAATTTCAAATACTATAAACAACGAAGGGGATTTGACTTGGTAAAAGAAATTTCAGAAAGCTGAATCTGAAGGTTATTTACTATATTAAGCTTAACAGAATAATAGAGTTGGAAGGGACCTTGGAGGTTTTCTAGTCCAACTTCCTGGTGAGGCAGGAACCCTATACCATTTCAGACAAACGTTGTCCAATCTCTTCTTAAAAATCTCCAGTATTGGAGCAGCCACAACTTTTGGAGGCAAGTCGTTCCACTGATTAATTGTTCCGTCAGGAAATTTCTAGGACTGCATTGGTTTTTTTAGCAACTGCAGCACATTGTTGGCTCATATTTAAGAACTAGAAGATCCCTTTCGCAGTTACTACTATCGAGCCAGATACAACCTATTAAACATCAATATAAATTTAAATTCTTAAAGGAGCTCAATGAATAGCAATTTAATAGACTAATTACCTTAAAGCAATCAAACAAATGGTCAAGCTGTTCAGGAGAGAAATCCCAGGCCAATTTTGCAAGAAGATCGTGTACATTTTTCACAATGGCTTCATGTTTTCCTGCCTTGAAAAGCAATATTATTAATGTTGTTTCTCTGTTATTTGTAGAAATAAGTACAACATGTTGCAACATTATTATCACAAAAGTACCATTTTAAGGTAAACTGATTAAAATTCAAGGATTGGTATGGTAATTTATGATGTACCTGCTGCTTTACAAAGCTATCATCAAAAAGCTACAAAATAAATGAAGAGGGGGAAAAAGAAACATGAGAAATGCTTAATAATGGATGGTTCCTTCCATTATATGTATCTCAGCTTGAACAAAATAGCAACAAGCAATCTTTGAAGAATTGCTACACCTAAATTCTGGAAGAAAGCTAGAACATGCAATGTGATGACAGAAAAGTATAGATATTGCTTCACTACATAACATCGGAGAGATGCTTGAATTTTTACTGGAAAGTACTTGGGAAGCAGTTCAGGACAAAATGTGAGATAAAGGAAGTGAAAATTGCTCAAGCTTCATGAGACCTTCGGTTGGGAATGATGAAAAGGTGAAGGTTATTAAAACATATATAGGTAATTCTCAACTTATGATCAAAATTTCTGTTAAGTTACATTTGTTAAGTCAGTTTTGCCTTTCTTGCCACAGTTGTTAAGTGAATCACTGCAGTTGATAAGTTAGTAACACGATTGTTAAGTGAATATAGCTTCCCCATTGATTTTGCTTGTCAAAAGGTTGCAAAAGATGATGACATGACCTTGGGATACAGCAACGGTGAAAAGTATGAACCAGTTGCCAAGCATCTGAATTTTGATCACATGGTCATGGGGATGCTACAAGAAGTGTGAAAAATGATCATAAGTCACTTTTTTCAGTGCCGCTGTAACTTTGAACAGTCACTAAATGAATTGTTGTAAGTCGAGGACTATCTGTATATTCCATGAATATATGCAAAGAAAGGAAAATGAGATCAGAAAAGATAGGAAAAAGTTTAAACATAATCTGTAAGCATACTTAGAAGTTCATGAAGGAGCTAAAAGATATAATTAGAGTCACTGGAGTGAGAAAGATTAATATTTGGACAATGAATTGCTCGATGGACATAATGAAAGTGAAAGAAGAGTTTTAATGAAAAGACTGCAATGCTTAAGATCAGAGTAGGGGTGTGCATGATACAAAATATACATATTGCTTCAAATTTTTATGAACAGCTTCAAAGCAGTCCCATTTCAGTAAAACAAAGCATTTAAGCTAAAAGCAAATTCTGCAGGAATCTCAGGGTGATTTTTTATGGGATGAATAAAGAAAGGCTGCTTCCTGCCTTCCCTTCAGTAGCACCCAGAACTTCATATCCCACTTGCCTTCTCAATTTTGCCAGAACTTCCCTTCCCTCCTTCCCCTCAGGCATTGTGGATATACTGCCCTATGTACCAGTTCCCTACTGTAATTGTCTCAACAATAAGAAACATAATCTAAGCACAGCATCTTCCACAGGCTCTTCTGTCCCTTTACAAGGGGGCAAAAAAATTAACTCTTTTCAAGTTACAAATAAACTACAATTTTATGGGCTATCTGTACTGAACAATTTAAACTAGAGCTATTACTAAAAATACTTGTAGTTTATTTGTAACTTGAAAAGAGTTAAATTTTTTGCCCCCTTGTAAAGGGATAGGACAATGATTCAGAGACGAAAGCATTAAATGTTTAATATTGTAGTACAACAGATAGACAAAACATGGCCATACAAAATAGAGATGGTCTCATGCAAGATGATAGTATTTAATTCTTACCTGGGCAGCCCAAATGTTGTCAAGGTCTTGCAAAGTTAGGGCCTTTTCTTTGATGACAAAACGAAGAATTTTCTCTAACTTTTCTACATATTGAGGTTGATGTAGACTATCTCTCAACACAATTGATAAAATATTGTTTTGCTGGATCCATTCCTAAGCAGAACATGAATGTATTGGATACAATTAGAATATATACGCATTTCCCTTTGTTTTCTTTAGATAAGTGAAGTAATGCATTATATCTTGGGGATGGGAACCATAATTTGAAAAAAGGAGTACTAATAATATTCATCAGCTTTTTCTTCCTAGAACAAGCATACTCAACTGGCTAGCCCAGATTTCACAATGACTAAGGATAGTATAATTTTGCTATGTAAGCATGTAGCAAGATATAATGTGAATTAGGTTAACTCTATCCTTGATATTCTGGAAGCCCCTTGAGATCTGGTTATGTCACCAAGTCTGGGGGTCCAGGGAACTGAGACATGTTTAGATGGCTCCATTACTGAGGTATATTCATTCTCTCTCTCTCTACTTGGGTTTCTACATATTTTGCTTTTAATTAATTTTTAATTTTTTAATGTTTACTTTTATCTTTTATATGTTTGCTTTTATATAAGTAATGTTCATAACTATTGTATACTACCCAGAGTCACTTCTCGTGAAATGGATGGCTATATAAATTTGATAAATAAAATAAATAAATTGATGCATTTTCTTTAAACACTTTCCCACTAAATTAAAGCAAATAAGCTTACTGCCATTCTTTCTGCTGTAAGCCATTCCTCCTCTTCAGGATTGCCATGTCGATGGGTATAATATGACACACTAGATATCACTTTGTTAACTTCATTTAGTGCATTCATTTTTCCATTGAAAGATGAAATTTGTAATAACCTATGAAGAAATGTTAAAATAACATTTTAAGGGGAGCAGAACAAGATAATTCAACTCCTAAAAAAGCATTAACACAACTGAAGAGATCTTACCTAAGTATCATTTTTAATCTAAATATTTCTAAGTTTTTTACTGTTTCCTCTTGTCCTGGAACTCTTGAGGCTAAGCTCTTCAGAGATTTTATTATCATTGACAAAGCATCATTTTTGGCTTCATTCTTAGCTTCTTTCTTCAGTTCATCATCAGTTAAGTTCTCTAAAAACTGTGGAACCATTTCTATAATTGGAAGGAAGTATTTCTTCACTGTATGCAGTGTTAAAAACTCATAGCACTGTCCAAATGGTCTGAAAGAAAAATATCAATGTAAAGGAAAAACTAGTTTGAAGTAGCAAGTTAAGCAGCCATATTTATAATTTATTTCACAAAAATTACTGACTGAAAAATAAGCTATTTAAATCCTTTGCTGTGTCTGAAATAAGAACTGAATTTACAACTTCAGAATAAATCTGATTGATTACAATCTTAATATAGGTAACAATTACTGTTTGTCAACCCAGGTTTTAAAAAGTAGAACAGCAAGAAGCTTTGGATCCAGTGGCAAGTGTTGGAGAGAGCCTAAGGACTGAAGTTAGGAAACAGCTGGGAAGCTATCTCTGATCTCTTCTGTAGAGATAATCCACAATGTTTTTGCTAGGTAACGATGAAATGTGAAAAGAAAATAGAAAAGAGAGGCTAAACTGAGATAATATGTGTATAATGTATAATCTCTGGAGGGGCATATTCTATGAGGTGAAGTGGGGTAGAATTCTATGCTGGAGCCATTTACTGCATCTATGGAGCAGTGGATTTTTAAGTACTAATTCTTATAATATTTATACTAACTTTGTCCCTATCTTGTTACTACAGCTTTGGTGCTGATGTAAGTCACCTACTTGGAGTTAGTGGCAATAGAACCTTTATAATAACCCAGACAATAATTCCAAGTAACTTGGAGTTTTGAACTGTGAACTTCATTTTAGGATACACTGAATGAAATCTGAAATCAGTTGGTTACAGCAGAGATCCCCAACCTTTTGGGCACCAGAGACCGGTTCCGTGGAGAGAGGTTTTTCCACAGACCGGAGGGTGTATGGTTTTGTGTGTTGCCTGCATCCCGCAGATGGGGCTTTGCTTGTTTGTGCGGACCGTTGCTGGCATGCCACGGCCCGGTACTGGTCCATGGACCAGGGGTGGGGACCCTTGGGTTACAACACATTACACAAATCCAATAAGAAATTGATTAATTTTGTCAAACAAACTAAACACAGTACATTTAGATCAGAATTACAAAATAAGGTTCTTTTCATTTTGCAGTGCAATACATATAGTTTTTGTTTTAAGTAGTAACAATTGCAACACAAAGGTTTTTATATACTATCAAAAACTTAAAAAGATTTTGAAATTTTGAAATGTAACAATGAGGGTAACAAATAGGATAGAGTTTTTGGGGGGTACGGTTTACAACAGTTTAGTAATCTGAATTGTAGCCATCAATGACTTTAATCGGAACCAGATGATAGAATCTACCTCTTATTACCTGTTTCACAGTCAAAAGTTATTTTTGACAGCAAATGGGAATAGTTGAAAAAAACCCCAGTTATTCTGATCTGTTAAGAGAAAAAATGTTTTCTATAGGGTCAAATCCAGTATGGAATATAAACCATCCTCCGAGTTTAGTTATTAATACTACGTATTCTCATGTTCTTATATTTCAGAACTGCACAATCTTCTTTGTATTTTGAGAAGTGTGGAAATGTGTTCATATAATAATAACTTTATTATTCGGTATACAGAAAGATATTTGAATTAAAATGAGTTATTCTTGTTCAGGTGACAAATTCTAAACACTTCCTTAGAACTTACTTGATGAGAGCTGCAATAATCTGAACATTCAATGCTGATCCACTCATAAAACGATCATGTAGGATTTGAAACCCATTTAACGTGCCAAACTTGTTGATGAGATCTACTAGCCAACCCTGCAAAACAATGTTTTCTCCAAGTAATTTCTACCACCAAAACATATATTTATGTCGCAAAGATGTTGCTCAACATATTTGATTAAAATTAATTGCCAATATTCTTAAATTATTGGTCTTTTACCTTTACGTAGTACTATCCTTTAAACTTCATTGAAATTTGAAAAATTGAAAAATTGTATCACCTGAAATTCAGTCTTTAATTATGACATTTTAAAGGCAGAATAAGTATTTTATTTTGTCAGAAACAAAGGCAGGAGGATTATCTTTAAAAATCTTATTTATGTTAGGTTCCATAATCCAGTTTCTGTAGTTCTCCCTTATCTCAGGAAATTACTTTTCAGAGGTTTTATACAAGTCTGAATAAAGATTCACCTATAGTTCCAATTTCAATCAGCATACCTTTGGTGACCGTGGGTCTGGAGGACGAGCATAAAGTTCATCTTCAGCTAGCTGAGCTCCAGCAGGAACAGTTTCTGAGGGACGTGTACCATTATAAAGATGGAACTTGCAATGAGGATTTAAGGCCATTGCAAGAAGCTCAAGAAGAGGAAACCAATCTTGGGCCAGCTTTGCCACACAGAGTTCAACAAGGCGATGGGTGTTGTTAATGATACATCTCTATTTAAAAGAAAATGATTTTAGATATGCTGCCTTTTATTCAAATTCTGCCACTAATCTTATTACAATAATAAACACAATGTTACACTGCAGTGTGTTTTAGGTTTAGACTAACAGCTACCAAACTGCAGACTATGGATCCCTGTCGAACTGCATAATTTTTACAAGGGGTCTGTAAATAAATATGGCAAATAAAACAAAACAGTCACACTGCTCTTCTATTGACAGCCACTGACCAAAAGATACCTAGGCTACACTAGGCAGAAAATTGAAAAGAAAGATACCAGCGGATTAAGGGCAATCCTTTTTTTCTTCCTGGTCAGCAATGACACTTCTCTACCATCCGTCATAGACAGTACATGCGTGATTTTTCTCATTAGTGACACTGTCCCTTCATGTCATGGTCAGCTCTGACTCAAGAGGAGCCTGCTGAGTGGATTTCAGCCTGTGAAAGCTTTAATATTCAATGACATGAGGCTAGTCCACTCAACAATCACCAGGACCAGCTGTGTCCCCTCCCACAGGATGAGGAACCGGAAAGACCTTCCAGACCCAGAAAGCACTATGTGCAATGGAAGGAACTTGACTTCTCTTGTTGAGAAAAATTGCAATGGTACTCAGAACTCTGTGACCTGAGCTCATGCCTATGGAAAATCTGCTCCTTGGGACCCCAACCAGCTGATTATCTACCTATGATATTGTACTGTGCCCAATGATGCTTCTGTCTTCTGCTTTGAACTCTGATTACTGAAAACTCTTTACTGGCAAATTTCCAAAGATCTGAGGTACTGCTCAAAACTGACTGCGCAAAATTCCCTGTCTGCCACTGCCTATATTTGAACAATTTAAAGCAAGGGGGGGGGGGTCAAACTCAATTTCATTGAGGGCCGCATCAGCATGGCGGTTGTCCTCGGGGGGCCGGGTAGGTGTGGCCAGGGTGGGCACGGCCTACTGGGTGGGCGTGGCTGGAGTGGGTGTGGCCTACTGGGTGGGCATGGCCAGCTCTACATCATTCGCGTCAAGGGTGCCTGTGGGTGCCTGGGCAAGAGTGGGACAGATCTGAGGGTCTCTGGCAGAAGGGGGTGGGACCAGGGCAAGCGCCAAGGCATGGTCCACTGGAAGAGCCTGCTGAAACCCCTCCCCCGGAGCCCATCAAGCCGGATATGTGAAGTAGGCGAGGGCCATTTGCTGGCCACTTCCAGGCGATAGTACATTTCTTCATTCCTCACAAAGGGTGACACCTCCCCAGTGCGCGCCCAGGGGGCGGGGCCAACGCGGCAGGGGCCAGTCCCTTGCTGTTTCTAGACGGCCTTGTGGAGCTAAGACTGAATGCGTTTCAGCATAGATGGCCACCACAAAATTGTACATTGGCTCCCGGGCGGCCAGGGCCGGGGCCAAGGTAGCGGGGGCCATTCCCTCACTGTTTCTAGGATGGCTTCATGGGCCACATGAAACCACGTAGCAGGCCGCATCCGGCCCCTGGACCTTGTGTTTGACATTTCTGATTTAAAGCAATCTTCCCAAAACTTTCCAGCTTTGAGGTCCGGCAGCGGGGAAGGGATGGTTCTGTGTGTGAACAGCGGGCAAGCGCAACTCCATTTGTGCAAGCAGTGGGCACATGTGCATGCCGCTTGCACAAATGGAATGTGCGAGCATGCACTTGCCCACTGCTTGTGCAAGTGGGGGTTGCACATGCTCGTCTACCTGTGACCTGGTTCTGAATGGTTCAAGGCCCAGTAGTGGGCCATGGCCTGGGGACCCCTGCTTTAAAGCAAAGCCTGCAACAAAATTCCTTTATTTGTATCTGTGCATCTATTATGGTTCAGGAACTTTCATTGCGCCTACCTGCTATCCTTATAAGCTTCTTATACAGTAGTGGCCAAAATTGTGGAAACCTTTTGGGAAAAGTGTATTTTTGAGGTTTGATGGCTAATAACACCACTTTTTTGTGGAGTAGTATCATAAAATTATGTATCAATGGAAAAATAATTTAATCAAGAATGTAAGCACAATGGTCGTTCAATTATCTGTATTCTATGAAACGTTATAGCCAAATAACCAGAAAAAGGAAGCACAACTTGCTTCGGTTGATATCAGGTAGCTTTCCTTCATCTGATTGTAGCCAATGAGCATGAGTGTTTAGAGAGCCAATCAGGTGTCATCTTGTTTTGGCAATGAGCCAATCAGCTCACAGTAGGATTCAGTTATTGATGTCATGTATTGAAGCTGAGAGGAGGACATTTGTCAGTGTGTTATGTGATCGCTATCAAGTTGGTTGGATTTTTTTTCTTTCATTTAGTGAGCTTGTAAAACTTAATAAAATTAAAGTAATGGTGCAAAGAGTTGACTGGTTGCCCAGAAAGCGATGTAAAATAGTATTATTAAGTGAACAAGGCTACAGTTATAAAGAAATGAGAAGAAAAATTGGTGAAAACTTAACCAAAGGTGGCATTTCTACTGTACATTTTTCCCAAAAGGTTTCCACAATTTTGGCCACTACTGTAAATGCCCTCATTTTGGCACAGTTGCTCTGTACGATGGTACTGTACAATAACTCTCTGTGCATGTTACATCCCATATTTTCCTTTTGTACATTTTGATACCTCACAGCTTCAACCCATGGGGACATATATAAAGCTACTATCATGAGGAAGAGTGCAAAAAGTTTAATATTAAAAGTTTTTTCCCTATTCAAGAAATTTGGGAATCTGGTTTAGAAAGCTAGGAGGCTTGGGAAATTAAATCACCTTTTTTAGCACAATGAATTAGCTTATTATCATATATTTATGAGTAGCTAATCCCAACTTACATGAATTTCAAATTTCCAGCCGCTCACTGCCTCATCTGTAAGTATTTTTGTGAAAGAAATTGTTAACCCATCTCGGAAAAATCGTTGACATGCTTCACTTTTAACATCAAGACCTATATAAAAAAAATTAATAAAATTATTTCAATGGAAATTCAGTCCTCAAAACACCAATGACAACAGATCATTCAAAACCTTTTTCAAAAGAAAGCCGTTTAAAGCCCTTTGTAGCATTAGGTATTTATTGTACTTATCAAAATTGCATAAAAATGCTAGTTTCTTTAGTAAATCTAAAATATTTAATACCACAGGATTTTTAATATGAAAAATCTAAAAACCTGGAAGAAAAAAATAATCAGAACACAAATAGCTGAGGATGGAAGGCAGACCTAGAAAAACTAAATGTTTTTGAGTTGTTAACAAAGAAACAGGAATTAAAAGGCACTAAGGTAGCGTCTGTTTAAAAGAATTCCCAATTCACACAGATAAACCATTTTAAAATGTAGCCAGGAATATTAATTATATCCATTTTTCTTAATGATTTATTTTTCAGCTTACCCTTTTTACTAAGCTCAATAGCAGCTTCTAGAAGAACTTCTAATTCTCCCTTGGGCAATACAGGAACAACCCATCGAGGTCTAGGAAAACGTAAGAATATAATTCATTTTACATTACATCTAGGTTTTCCCCACTCATGTATCCCGAATACCTGGGTCATACATTCGGAAGCACTTAGGAAAAATCTGAAACAATTCAATAGTGTTCTTTGTAAATAATTCGAGTTTTTATGTGCACTTTTGTTTAGCTGAGTTCTGTTGCAACGAGCAGGTTGTTAAATGAATACATACTGAGAGAAGATAGATGCTGTGAAGATCACTGGGTTTCTGCCATTTCATTTAAATCAAGTTCTCATATAGCTACACCAGCATTACTCTTATTCCAGCATGCATTGTTGTCAAGAATATAAAATTTGGTCATAAATGCACACATTGATGGAAAGTATTTTTTTTACTTTTTGTCATATTTCAAATAATCAATAACAAAGGTAGTTGGTAAATAAGAAGTGGGAGTATTTGCTTAAAAGCCACTGAAATACATCCAAAATGCCAATAGAAGTTAACTGTACAACTGTTGGAAATTTTGAAAATTACAAAAGTATTAAAAAATAACCTGTTGATCATGTCATCCAGTTTTGCCAAATCAGTGTGTGGAAATGCAGGTTCTTCATCTTCAAGTTGTGGTGGGGCATCACCTTGACCCTGTTCATCAGGGGGAGTAGCTGGGGAATTCTCATTTGAAGAATCAGGTGAAGAAGTCTGAAATGGAAACTATGGATTTCCATGAACTATTCAAATGCCATCATTTTTGTCTATAGATTCATATGAGCATTTAAACATGACTAAAACTGAGATTCTAGAAAGGTTAGGAAGGTCGATTACTGTTTTCTTCTTATTTAGGTTTTATATTCAAGATTGCGTTAAAACTTAACCATGTGCTAATATTTCCAACTGTGGTCTAAGACAGACCTGCTTGTTCTTCCTACAATCACACAAATACACTCTGATTCCACTGTAACAAGTACAGTCTTTATTTTTGCTTTATTCCAATCTTGCATGTTTATAACCTCTGACTACCATAGTGTTCACCTGTGTCCCACACTGTGGCCAATCTCTACATGGAAGAGGTAGAAACCAAAGCCCTAAATTCCTTCACAGGTATTCCACCCATCCAGTGAGTGGGTGGAATTCCTGTGAAAGAGTTTAGGGCTTTGGGATATGACATCATCTATCTTCAGTCTACAGCAGAGTCCTTTCAACAGTTCCAAGAAGGCTCCACAGCCATTTGCACTACTCAGGTGACCCTGACGACACAGATAAACCTCCAGGTGGCCTCAATGACTCTTTAAAAGAATGCAAACGACCAGCTCTCTTCAAGGAGTATAAATCTTTCCATTCCCCATCATCCAGTCAGAGCTGAAGAAGCTTCTTGGATGAGAAGCGAAACGTCTTCAAAGAAAAACTAAAAAGTCCAGTTGCCTTGTGAAAAAACATCTTTGGGATAATTAGCACCTGGTTGACTGAGAATCTCCATAGACTACTACCGTAATGGTATCTACAGATATCAATTTTATCTTTTTGACAGGATACTAAATTTAATTGTTATTTAAAACATTATTTCTTTCGAAAATCAATGAAATTTTAATATGATTACCCTTTTCTAATATTGATTGCTGAAAAGTGTGATCATTTTAGGGGCTCTGTATTAGCTAACATATGGAATAGCACTTGTGCTATATACACAAAAGAAATCTTTGATAAAGCTTAGGTTCAGAGTCTCATGTACCTAAATACTTTGCATGCCAAGCAAGCTGTGAAGTAAGCAAAAAATACACTATCTACAACTGTGTTTCTCTCTTAAGCCCTGCTGATTGCCTTACTGTTTCTTATATGATTTATACTGCTTATCTTATATCAATTATTTCTGTTAGCATAGAAGCATACATTTTGTCAGGAACACTAACAATCTTCCCAGTGCACTAAATGCATTACTTTTACTATAGGCTCATCAAAACATTAATACAGTTACTCTTCATATAGAGCAGACATGTCAAACTCGTGATGTCACGTGACGCTGCGCAACGTATTGGGACAGTTTTGCTATTGCCGGCAATGGGGTGGGTACGGCTTCTGTCTGGCCCTCTGGCCGGCAGTTTGACACCCCTGATATAAAGTAAGACTGATTAGATTATACTAAACAGCTAAATTGCACATCTATTCTCACTTTGGCATTGAACAAAGCACAGTCATAGAAAACAGAAACATTTGATTAGCAAATCCAATCAGAATTTCTGGAGCCTTGTTTATTAGGCACCTTAATATGTAAAAAAATTTAAAAAAGAAATCACATTATAGTTTTCACTTACCAGTTTTTTGGGACTAGGAACTCCATTGATAAGTGACATGGTCATAATGATGTCACATCACCGCGTCAACTTATGACGGCACTTCTAGCAGTCCCAGTTGCTGTTGTTAGGCCAATCCTTGCTGTCACAGTGCTCTACAGATACATGATTACTATCTGTGTGATCTCCTGACAGCTTTCCCATTGACTTTGCTTGTCAGAAGCCAGCAGTGAAGGTTGGAAATGGAAATCGGGTGACCAGGGGACACTGCAACATTGTAACTGCAAGCCAGTTGCTAAAGGCCCAAATCACTGTATGATTCAGGAAAGCTATTGTCAACGCTGCAAATACTGTATATTCTTGCTTTGACAATATGCAGAACTGTCTGGTATTTTTATAGTTAAATCAGGCAACAGTGAAAGGGGAGGAGAATAAGGAAAAAGGAACCGGAAGTGAATCACGACCCCAAAATAGGGGAGGGAAAAATGCCTGGAATGTATGTGCAACGGAAAAGAAAATCAGATCTTAGCATTCCACCATGCCGTACTGACATCTCTGTAACCTTAATAAAGGCTTTTAGGTTAAAAAAATGCCTGAAAGTTCTTTTAAGTGTTTCGTTAATCAGACACATGACAGCTATGATGGCTGCAAGTATTAGGATCTGTTGTTGAGCCCCACTCATTTAGCACTAGAGTAATTTAGAACAGTCGCCAAGTGGACATATATTTGCAGCCAACAGTGGCTCCCTATTATTAATTCTAAATTAGAATTCTCTACTGTTATATTCAAATGAATGCATGTACTTTGCAAAGCCATATTTAACATACCTGATTCTGCTGCAGAGGAGGCTGGGACTGTCCATCAGGAGCCTGTCCCTGACTGTCATTCCCTCCTACTGGAGAGCCACGAGTCGTGGCTGTCATACTCGAAACAGGGCAGATTTTTGCAATTTTGTCTGCTTATGTAGTTGTTGAGAGAGAAAAATTTATAGTCCGCTTAATAAAGTTGAAGTACCAGCGTAGATCTGTTTTAAAAAGCTCCAACTCAAGAACAAGCCATCTTGCAGAGACCATTGCATAACCTGAAAGATAATTCAATATATGATGTTATTTTAAATATTATCCTGGAGATATAAAAATGTCATTCATGGAAAAACATTCTCTATTTCTTAAAAATCCAACAAGAGTCCCAAATCTTTTCTCTAGTGTCTGTTTTTTATGTTCGGAAAACATTATTTAGCATTGTAAAAACAACACTGTGCCATCACAGAACACCCTGAGAAATGTTAATCCATGGCCTATGTTAATCCATGGCCAATACTGGGTTAATTTTAATTAGTGGTTCCTGATTGATTCTCCTGATAAGACTCTATTTCAAATAATATGTAAGTGAAATATATGTCCTGCTGATCTAAAATGTTAACGACGGCCAAATCAGGTAATACACGGATGCAAGACCATCAGAAAATATTAGGACTGTATGCTAGACTAGGGAGTCAAAAAACAAAACCAAAAAAAAACTTCAGAAGCAAGCAATAGCAAATCCCTCACATACTGTTGCCAAGACAATTCCACAGATGTGTCCAAGAAATCACAGGAGACTACCTTAACCTGAAGAAGACTTTCCCCATTTAGAATACAGGTAATCCTCAACTTATGATGAATCTCCCCAGGGCTACTTACGATCCAGATTCAAAGTTCTGACAACTGCCCCCTGGTCATGTGACCGCAATTCAGGCATTTGGCAACTGTACATAAGTCAATTGCCAAGATTTGAGCAAGCCATATTCAACTATTAAACCAAATAGTTTAAGTTTACTAGAAGCATTTAAAATAGACACTAGACTGCACCAAAGCTGATTCAAATTCTCTCCAGTGACACAATCCTCTTCCTATATATGCTGCAAGATATCATCATAAGATAGAGCATCGCACATTAGTATTATTTAATAAAATATTTTATTTGAATTGGTACACCCCAATCCACAGTATGGTGAAAACTAAACATTCTGATATTTACAACACTTTTTGAGCCCTATTCACTCATCCTACCATGTCAGAGCATTTTAACAAAGGCTACAGAACAAATTTAGGGATACAGACAAGTAGTCTTCTACTTACGACTGGTTACTTCGCGGCCATTCAAAGTTATAGACATTTCTAAGGGCACTTACAACCTGGATTCAAGGTTCTGACAGCTGTTCACCCCATGATCACATGACTGCATTTAGAGGGCTCAGCAACCAGGCTGCATTTGGAGCCATTTGTAGCTTCCTGCAGACATGTGACTACATTTTAGGATGGTTTTGCCCCAAACTGGCATGTACTTCCCATTTTGGGCAAAACCGTGTCCATACCGAACCACTAGTTTGCTTTGCATCTACCGCATTTATTTTATGGCTGCAAAAAAAAAAGTGGTAAAATCAGGTTGGTCACATAGGTGACCCAATTTATGACCATCACACGTTACGACAGTGATGGACTGGCTGGCTTGGAGCTCAAAAGACTACCTATAGATGATTTCAGTATTTATTAATATGAACAATCTAAAATAGTCTAAAGACAAACTGTAACCAACATTTAAATCAGAAAGACAAAACTGAAAATAAATTGCTTCCTTATACAAGTGGTTCTTGTTAACAGTTCAACAACTGTCTGAACCTGTAACAGTTCTGAATGAGAGGTAGTTATGACTTGTGTTCAAAGTTCTGGCCAGAACAGTGCCCCCGTGGTCACATGACTGCAATCCAAGCGCTCAGCAGATGGTTTGGATTTCTGACTGTCACAGCATCCCACAGTCACTTGAATGCTATCTGCAACCTTCCCTGCTGGCACAATCACAATTTCCCACAAGCAAAGGCAATATGGAAGCTAGCTGGAAGCCGCAATCATGTGAAATCCTCAATTAACAGTGTAATGGAGACTGCAGGAACTACCACCACTAAGCAGTGTAATCATGTGATATTATACTTTATGATCATATCACTTAGCAAGGGCAGTTTCAGTCCAAGTTACCATCATTAATTGACGACTATGTGTATTTTCTAAGATAAACTTCCTCCCCAAAATTACATCAGACTATTCTATTGTTACAAATATTAGTAATTTTGGAGATTCAAGATTAAATTAAAAAGATATTTGTTTTCCTTTGTACATGCAATGAAGGTAGTCCTTGACTTACAACCACAATTGAGTTCAAAATTTATGTTGCTAAGCAAGACAGTTATGAGTTTTGCTGCATTTTACGAACTTTCTTGCCACAATTGTTAAGTGAATCACAACAGTTGTTAAATTAGTAATACAGATGTTTAGTCAATTTGGCTTCCCCATTGACTTTGCTTGTCAGAAGCCCGGAAAAGGTGATCACATGACCCTGGGACAGTACAACTGTCACAAATACATGCCAACTGCCAAGTATCCGAATTCTGATCATGCGACTATGGGGATG